CAGCGCAGGCCCCCCGCGCTTGGGGGAAGGCTCACAGCCCGGGGGGCGGAACAAACGTTGTTGCGGAGACCTACGCCATAAGCGGTTACCAGCGGGCGAGCGCGAACGCGGGAAAGCCTGCAGTAGGGGCAGACGGCATCATCAGGGCCCGTGCTGTAGCGGTGCCCCTTTCTCCCTTTCCAGAGCTTCTCAGGGCGCAGAGATTACCCCGTGCACTCGAAAATTCGTGTAGAAATGTTTTTTAGACGGGCAGGGCAGGGCCTCGTGTGGGCACAGGGCTGCAGCGGTGCACACCTCGGGTGCGAGGTGCGAATTTCCCCGAGGAGACACCGCTGCCCTCCTCAGCCTTGCTTTCTGTTGTGCTTCGTTCTGCCTTTGCATCCTCCTGCAGCTTGCTTTCGGTACACTTGGGAAGACCTCTGGTTGCATTCCTCATACATTTTCTATCGCAATTACTGCAGTTATATGTAGACTATGCAAACTTTTAAAAATACTCCATCTTTTCCAGGTTGCAAGGCTAAAAAAAGAATTGCTGTTGTAAGCTTCCAAGTTGTGTGAGCTGCTGAAACGTGAGCATGTTGTTTATGGAGTACTTAAGCATATATCCTCATTTTTCAAATGTTTAAAGGTTCATTAATTAGCAATATGCCTCTGTTTTCAATGTCCAGAGCAATGCAGGCAGTGTTATTTAGCAGCCTCCCTTTAAGTTGTACTTTACAGTTGACTGGAGTCTACAGGGTATTAAAATACAATACTTTTGCACTTTGGTCTGGCAGTGTCCTATATTGGGTCTATAGCATCTACTGAACTGTTACAAGTGTTTTTCCTTCGGCTCCCTATTTACCTTACTAATAGTGATCTGACTAAATATGCTGTTGTCCTGGTTTCAGCTGGGATAATTTTCTTCCTAGTAGCTGGCATAGTGCTGTGGTTTGGATTTAGGATGAGAAGAATGCTGATAACACACCGATGGTTTAGTTGTTGCTAAGTAGTGCTTACACCAGTCAAGGACTTTTTGGCTTCCCATGCTCTGCCAGGTGCACAAGAAGCTGGGAGGGGGCACAGCCAGAATAGTTGATCCAAACTGACCAAAGGGCTATTCCATACCATGTGACGTCATGCTCAGTATAGTAACTGGGGGGAGTTGGCCAGGGAGCAGCGATGGCTGCTCGGGAACTGTCTGGGTATCGGTCAGCGGGTGGTGAGCAATTGCATTGTGCATCACTTGCTTTGTATATTATTATTATATTATTATCATTACTATTTTACTTTATTTCAATTATTAAACTGTTCTTATCTCAACCCAGGAGTGTTTCTCACTCTTACTCCTCCAATTCTGTCCCCCATCCCACTGGGCAGGGGGAGTGAGCAAGCAGCTGCGCAGTGCTTAGCTGCTGGCTGGGGTTAAACCACGACAGCTGTAACATAGTGACAATTTAACAGACAAACAGTTGCTTATTAAAAACTCTGTGGCTGGAAATGCACACTTGGTATGCTGCAAATGTAGTTCAGTGTTAGTGATGAACAAATGACAACTTTTATAACTGCGCAGAACAAATGATTAACCAAGAAAACACTTCTTCAAGATGTTTGAAAGTTTATTCATAGTAGAAATTTCAGTTTCTTCTGAAGACTACAAAACCTGCCATTAGACAGGAGTACAAGCAATGATATCTTTCCAGAACTGTTCACAGTTACAGAACAGTTCTAATTACACGATTGGAACATTTCCTGAATCGGACTCTGAATAAAACAATCATTTAAAGTATTCAGTACATTTTTTTTTTCCACTAGCATTTCAGTTCTATGACAGCAGTGCCAAGCATCTAACAGATGCTATTGTAATGGTTTATAACAAGGTACAATACCACTGATTTCCTGGAACAGTACCTTAGACTCACTTACATGCCATGCTGAGAAAACTAGTATAAAGTATGATTGTATAGAATTGTAGAAAAATATTTTATCTGTGATTTTGTAATTTTTTTTAAAAACATTTTAAGTAGACTTCCCCCCCCAACTAGATTGCAAAATAATTACATCCCTCATAAGTACACCTTCCCTTTGATTAGGTCAAGAGTATCAAGATAAAGCTAATCATTTACATCATTTTCATAAGTGAAAATTCATCTATTAACCACTGCTGCTTACTAAGGACCAGCATACTTTGAATCCTTTCCTTCCAGTAACAGAAAAGCACAGCTTTATTTGGTACACCACATTTACAAAAGCAAAACACACACAAAAAAATCCCAGACACATAAATCTATTTTCTTACGCCCTTGTCTCTTTAGAAAAAAGTTTTAACTATTCTCTTGAAAAACTCCTTATGAGTTTCATTCAAAGTTATAGTGATTATGAATAAAGAAGTTTGCCCTTACTGGATATAGATGGCATTTAATGAGTATTGCAACTACTCTCTTCCCTCTGTTCTCTCATGCTCTCTCAAGCACAGTAAGTGGTGATTTCACGCTAAAAAAAATAAACTGTGGCCTACATACTGAAAATTCACCTGTATCTGCAGTTCTCCTTTTCTGTCCTCTGTGACTCTGTATCCTAGAGTCATTTGCTGTGCTTTGCAGACCAAGCAGCAGTCCAGCAATGAATTTACACAGTGTGTCACATATCTTGCATTCTAATAGAAAGGTGCTGGGATTCAAAGCAGCATTATGTGGATTTCTTTCTAGCTTCTACCAACTGCAGCTACAAAAACATAAAAATAAATGTGAAAGTTGTGAACATGGATCCAAAACAGGAGGTAAGGTACATAACACCATTTAAGTCTAGCCTGTAAAATACACCTTCTGCATAGACGGGCCCTTTATACCTTGGTTTAGAAAGTAACTTAAAAATACAGTGGATCTAGACTTCAACACATTCAAGCTAGCATGTGCTAAACTGCCCTGTTTTATTAGCATTTAAAATGTTCATCCTATGCTGCTATATATGTGACATAGTAGCAACACCTGTAAAGTCTAGGCTAATTAACAGCTTGCTTGAGAATGTAGATACATAAAACGCAGGAGTTAACTTTGCTTCACTATTTGGCTAATGACCAGTGAGCTTGAGGCCACAAAATATGGCTAAAATAAAATTACTCAAAGTACTTTTCTATTATTTTAACACAGATACTGCCAATAGTGAAGCAGCTTAACACACTTCCTCCTTTTGGTCTGTTCTTTGCCAGGTACCTATATAGACACACTGAGAACACATGAGAAACTCCTTCCTGAACTGCAATGCTATTATTGGCACACTAGGAAGTACTGTCATCCCTTTATTTCAACAGTATCAGTTTTAAATCTTGTTTGTTGACTAGATATGACAATCTTCAGATTAACACATTTAAAAGCCACTCCAGATGATTCTAGATTTTGATGAGCCTGACTTGCGATCGCTCACCGAGCTGAAAATAAATTTTCTGAAAGGTAATGTTTTACTAAATTCCTCTGGAACTGCAGACACTGTCAAAGAAAAACTAAAACGGCCTTTTTCTGCCTCTAGTTAAAGGTGTTTCTTGAAGGAAGGATAGATGCATCTGTACAGCTGAAGGGTACTTCAACACTAGAGCACCAAGTAAGGGAAAAATACTAATTGCCTGGAAGAGCTGTGTGTACAAATTTCTGAGGTCTATGGTAGTTTAAGAATCCTTGTTCATAAACCCAATTCCTTAACAATTATATGATGGGTTAATACTTAACAGATTTTTTAAGGGCAATAAAAGTGGGATCCTTTGCAAATCTAACAAAGGACACTTCCCCAAGGAACTTGGAAAAACTTGTGGCAGAAGGAACACTCTCACATTAATTTAGAGCAAATCTGTGGTGTCATAAAGATGATTCTCCCTTTCAACAAACCTCTGATGATTTCAGGGAAACTAGCAAATTAATCGGCATAAAAGAAATTTAATACCACTAAATCAAGAAAATACCTTCTTATGCAAAACTCAAAATTGCACCTTCTAGTTTTTAAATTGTATTGTTCACATAGAGCTGTTCACCCAGATCCATATTTATTAAAGCTTGAATTCCCAAGAGCCATTTTCATATCTGGAATGAGCTGATGTAGCATACCATCTTGGTGGAGTGGGACACTCATTGAATTCAAACACATTCCAGTACACCTTCTCATGTGGGCAATTTGATCTTTCCAGACTAGCCATCAAGACACGCCTTTAATTACGAAGAGCACCGAGAGGCCAGGAATATTAAGTTTATAGTAGTATTTAAAATGAATCTCTCACCTCATCACAAACTTGCTTCCATCTGGGGAAAAGTGAGAACACTCGACTCTGAACAGCTTTGTTTTACCTGACTGGGCCAATACTACTTTCATGGTAAATTATAATGACCCTTTTCTAGCCCCAGACAGATCTGGATGACTCTCCTCTCGTTTTGCTTTGGCTGTCAATTAAAATTATCAGAAAATAACTGACAGAACATTAGACCCATCAGTTTCACAACCGCAATGAATGCAGTTTAAACCTACTTTTTGCAGGCTTCTGCTTATTAGCGTACAATATGTTTTGCTTTATCTTCAATGCTGCCTTTCTTCTTATAATGCCAACATTCACTGAACAAATCCTTTGCAGCTTAAACAAAAGTCACAGAACAGAGATAAAATATTAACAATGGATTATAAGAATAAACAATACAGAAATGTCCTCTATCAGAAAGTATTTAGCAATGATTCCTGAGTCCAGAGATTAGATGGGAGAGAATAAAAGGGAGGGGAGGGGGAACAAAAGACAGAGTGAGATATAGAGCAAGTTATCTTTTCTCTGGGTTATATTACCTATTGTATATAGAGTATGGTGATAGATCCACTGTTTAAATTTTGAATACTATAAACAGTATCCTGATTTTCATAACATGACATGCAGTGTCAAAAACATGGAAATGTAGAAAAGACATAGGCAAGGAGAAATACATATTCATAGTATTACATTCATAGCTGTTTAACAGTCAGGCTTCTTTTAGAGCTGTCCAACACTGATTAATCCAGGTGAACTGTTTAATCAGACTTAATTGTCAAAATGATTAATAATATCTAAGTAACACAAGGCATGTATACATTAAAGAAAACAGCACGGAAATGTACTGCTTGTGAACTGTTTACAAAAACATACAAAATGTTGGATGGCACAAAGTATATAGTGCTAATATAAACAGATTGTTTAAGCTAAGTGCTTAACATAAACTGTCCATCTCTACCTGTAACAAAGAATATCTTAGGGGACAAAAAATATTCCTTATAAAAATAATGCTATGTGGTGCAGAGTGCTTTATTCAGTGTATTTTTGTCAGAGGTGGCATTCGTAATTCTTCTGGTTTATTCGATCGTGAACATGATTGTTTTCATTGTGTTTCCACTTGTCACTCCATTTGAAGCTCCAGTAAGATCAGTAACTTGCCATCAACAGTTTAAAGCGAGAATAGATGAAAGCAGTAGCAGCAGCAGGAGCAGCAGCATTATAGGTACCAGCTGGGACAGAGTGTGCTTGCAGGTATCTGTCAGATATGTGCTACCTGTCGCCATGATTTGTGCTATCATCTTATGCCATGGTACCAAATATCTGGTTGAGGTCACTTCACAGGGCTGTTGAGGTAATTTTTTTTATACCTCTCCTCTGAGCAAGAGTAGAACGGCCGACTGGCTCCAAAACCGGTGACTGATTACGATTCAAAGCTGAGTAAGTTGCTGCCATTGCACCCTGTGGGGCAGACGGGAAAAAAAAACAAGAGTAGTATATTGTGACTGATGCACACGCTAGAGATCACACAGCGCTAGGTGCCAGAGATTCTGAACAAGTTTTAACTTCCAGTCTACTTCCATCTACAAAACAGAAACATACCACTGCATTACTCAAATACCAGCAGTGTTTGGAGTGTCTTTTAGGGTAATAAATAGTTTTCAGATCAGATCAATCTAAAGCAGTTTTACCTTGCTTAAAAAAACAAACCCAGATTGCTAAATTAAGTTCTCTCTCCATGCTTTGTGAAGTAGTTGGGGAATGAAACCCCATCGGTGGGCCATCTCTGCTTATCACTTATATAACCATTTCGGTTTTCAGCGAAATATTTTAAAATTGTCCACATTATTCAGCACACGAAGATTTATTTAAAGAAAATGTTAGAAAGTTGTGAGCCGTGGGATCAGAACTTCCCCCTCTTTCCACTTTTGTTTTTGGATGCTAGAAATTTCTAATAGCTGACTCAGAGAGAGTGTTAATTATATTCTTCAGATCCCTTTTATGTTGCATGACAGAGATTCTTGGATGTAGGACTGAAGGCCGGGTGGAATACAGAGAAGTAGAATTCAGTTATTTTTGATTTCTCTCTGCTTGTTCAAAGTGAAAAATATTCATCAGGGTCAAAACCAGATTGTGTTTCAGCCAGAATGCAGAACAATATGATACCATATTAAACACTGCCTTTTTGACTTCTTTGTAGCTTATACTGTGATCATGAAGCACGCTGTTTTCTTTTAGTCACTGACAACTAACCTCCTCTGAAACTGTAAAATTAGCTAAACTATTTTTCAGCTCCCCTATAGTCACCTGACAACATTTTCACTATCAAAAGAATCATTTCTTCTATGCCAGTTTCTTAAGGAAGTTAAGCCTCCCAGTGTAAGTCCAATAAATTTCAAACCAAAGAAAATGAGTCTTTTTCAAATGTATTAGATTTGTTCTCCATGACCGGGTTCTTATGAAATCCTAGTACATATTAGAAGTTCACTTCATGGCTTAGTGCAACTCCCAGTGGTAACAACTTTTAAATAGTATTTAGAGGAAACACATGCCACAGTAACTTTTTTTTTTTAATCCTTTTGTTTACACTAGTTTTGGCTAAATGGCAAACTTAACAAATACCTACTTACCTTCACTAAATGGGGAGCATCCTGCCTGTTCAGCTGGTATTGAGGCAACTGGTCACAGTGAACTATCCAGGGGTGACTAAGAACTTGGGCTGCAGTCAATCTTTGATGCGGGTCAACGTGAAGCATTTTTGAAACAAGGTCCTGTCAATAATATACAAAGGGTCAAGGCAAATAACAGTAAAACTTCAGCTTTAAACCAGATTACAGTTCAGACCTGAAGATTTTAGTGGTATAAAAATACGTTCATAATGTCAGTTTGAAACAGCTGAAAAACTGCCCAGCAATCCTAACACTGTATCTTTTAATTATGTGACTTAATAGATGTTTGGTAATGCAACAGGAAAATATCCAATTAAGTGAGGCAAAATATACAAACATAAAAATATGCACGTTGGGCTAGAGTAGAGGCCCCAGTATACCCGTATTTTATTTCTAACAATGACAAATAGCAGATATGTAGAAATGAGTACTGAAAAGGGAACAACTGAGAAAATAGAGATGATCCTTCCCTTTGCACGTTTCCCCAGTGTCTAACAATCTTTCAACAATTGTGCACGTTGAAGGTTGAATTTTAGTACTCCTGCTGGCCATAAACGCACCCTCAGTGACTTTTACCTCATCCCCTCTGAACTCATTTTGCTGCTTATACTTTTGTTTTTTCCTGCTTCCCAAACACCTTTCACAGTTTTTTCCACAATTAAGTTGTGAAACACATGAACAGATGTTTAATTTTGTTTGGTTTTTAACTTCTGCAGAATATAGTAACAACGATTCCTGATTTCCCTAATAAAATCATCATATGAGAAAAAAGGAATTAATCTTTCCATCTTTGAATAATCAGTGAAATGATCTCTTTTGTCTGTCATATCAGTCAAGTCTGCTGACATGAAACACTGTATTCTATTTACTCTCTTTACATGCAAGTGGCTCTTGACATCTGATCAGATTTTCACCTTCATTTTGGTACATCCTTTTTCTACCACCTTTTCAACTTCTATTTATCTTTTCCACATTATGGTAGTGAGAAATGTATACAACACTCAAGATGTTGCAAACAAATTTATACAGCAGCATATTTTATAGATTACTTTAGATGTTAGTCAGTAAGGGTAAAGCATAAATAATGTTTCTACATTAAGCAGTTAGCTGTGGAGAAACACATTTAGTTGATTACACCTGGATTTAAGATAATTTAAGCTACATTAGCAATACTGGACATTTTCATACAAAACATTCTTTGTTTTGTAATTCAAATTAAGAATTTGAAGATAAAGATACTATTAAAAAGGAATCTAAGATTCTTTCATAGCTGATAGCTTTTTGGTTCATTCTAGACTCGCAAGTACAACTGAACAGAACGGGACTGAAGGAAAAAAAAGCTGATGCTACCAGATTAGTGTAAACATGTTATTCTAACAGGTTGATTTGTCAGTCAAATGAATGACATGATTTGTGGGAAAATGCTCAAGTTATGAGAACAGCATGTTAGAAAGCACATCACAAATCAGAGCACAACATGCGTAAACAATTTTTGGGAAAAACTTTAGCACTTTACCGTAGCTACACAGAAGGGGCATAAAGGACATTGCACACTTGTTTAGAGTCTATTTGCTGTAAAAAATGTACCTCTAAAAAACTCAAGTTGTCTAAAATTTTTACTTTGTAGAAATGCAGTAAAAAGAAAGTGTAATACTTCAGTGGTTTTTGTTTTGTTTTTGAAGTAGATATGACATCCTTAAGGACCAAAATTTTTTAAAGTACTTAAAAGAATAAACTGTTCGAATCCTAATGAAAGAGTATGAGATAAACTGTCTTGGGTAACTGTGAAGAACTGACCCAAACAGAAAAATGTGGAAAACTATTTATTTTTCTATCCTGAATCAGTGGAGCATATGGTAATTATTGTAATATTTTCATTATCCTGATTTAGACTATCTGTATGATTTTTGAGTGTCATGCTTTCACGTGAAGTTTTACTACAGCATTTCTCATCATGGATGATGTGCATGTACGTGAATACTGATAAAATACACTATATTTCTAAGGACACTTGTTAATGACTATAGTGTAAGGCACACCTGGTTTTCTTCCTAAACACACATGACTGCTGAAATATGAAAGGATCATAAATAGGAAACAAACTTCTAGGCACATAAAGGATCAGATCAGTATTTTAAAAACAATTAACAATGGGTGGAACCTAACCAATCATATATGATACAAACATATACATTATAAGTAACATGTTACATTGCAATCCATTTCTCATCCCCCAAAGGACAAAGCAAATATACTTGCCTTAGCTGTATCTGAAACAGTATTCCAATAACCACCGCTGAGAGAGAACTTTCCACTACCTATTCGGGCCAAAATCTCCTCTGGGGTATCATCAGGACCATTTGCAAAAGGAGTGTAGCTATTTAACCAAACAATTTCAATGTTAATAACGTCCATAACCTGGACCTCAATAGTTATTATAAATCTGATCATAATATTCAGTGATTTCAACATAATTATAGGCAACAGATAGTCAAATAGCTGTAAAACCAGATTATTCTTAACACGTGAAAATGCACAGCATTGACTACAGATCTGTTCTTACTGTACATATTCCTTCTATATCGGGTCTGAAAATCAGATTTTTCCTATAGCAGTCTAAGTACTGGTGGTTCCTGAATTACAGAAAGTATTCCTTAAGCTTTCATGTTTTAGTGAAGTAATAAAACAAGCTGCTATAAAATTAAATGTGAAGACTTTATGATGACTCCAGAAAAGAATAAATGCTGTCTTGATACTCGAGAAAGGAAGGTGCAGCAATTTCACTTGCTTCACTATAAGCATTCTTGCTGCTACCAGAATATCCACAACCAAAAAAGAGATATATTTAAAACCAAGTATGTTTGTCACTTATTTATTTTAAAATGCCAAAATGTCCCTGATAATGCTAACTCTTAACCAAACTGGCAATCTGAATAACCCAGCATAAAAATATAATCTATTTGGCAGGTGCAATAGCAACTATCTTTTGAACTTGTGGAACTATAGTTGAATTTATTATTCATCATCTTTTATATAATTCACTTCTGTTGCATAGATAAGTGCATTCTATTGCATTTATTATATTCTAACTGCATCACTTCAAACTATCCAGTGGCTGTATTTTGCACACAATCATGCTTGGATGCATTGCAATGATATTTGCAACATATAATTAGCTGCTTAATCAGCTAATTTTCACATGAAACAATCAATTCTTACTCCTAAATCACCATAAAGCAGAAATTAAACACCTAAAATAGATGAGACACGAGAAACGAAGAATTTTTCATATCAGTCCCTGCAAACTTGGATTCTACTAAAGGCAAAGCATATTCTACCCCCACTGAAGCCAAAGTTGAGATTAATCAGTGCCTTCATAGAAACATCTTCAACAGTGGGCCTACATTTATTATTCTTTTTGTTTATATTGGTTTGCTACTCTACAGTAAACTAAAATTACCCTTACCCAGTAAGCATGGTATAAAGTAGAACACCGAGGCTCCATATGTCACATGCAGCATCATAACCTTGCCTCTTTAAAACCTGAGGGAGACAAATATTTTTTCTGATTATGCCATAAAACCAGTGAGATTTCAAATATTTAGTGTTTACAAAGTGATTTCACTTGTTACACAAGAATGAAACAAATATCTAACTAGCAAAAAAATCCCATCAAAATAAATCAAGGCATATAAGCTATCCTGGTATTTACCTCTGGTGCAACAAAATTTGCTGTGTAACATGGAGTCATCAGAAGACCATTTTCTGCTCGTAGTTGTTTTGCAAAGCCAAAATCACAAATTCGAATTGATTCTGGATTACCAGATTCATCAACGTAAAGGATATTGCTAGGCTTCAGGTCTCTATGAACAACCTAAAAAAAAAAAAACAAACCACTAAATACAATAAGCTGAACATAGGAAAGGCTTTATATTATAATTGCCAATTCTGCTACTTAATTTCAAATCTCCCACTGGCAATTAGTTTCCAGATTTCCAGCTTCTGACATCAGCTGCAGTATTCTGATGCTCAGCGGTGTCTAGAAAACTACAATTCTAACTTGGAAACTCTAACTATAGAGCCTCCTCCAGACATCCCACTCCCCCCAGAATTTATTTGTACAGACAGTTCCAGATGTCTTGTTCTAATGGGTGAATTTTCTATTTTAACATGCATACCTACAAGGTGCTTTAAATCAGAACCTTTGGCTAGTAATATCTTTTGGAGTCACGGATGTCTGTAGCTGCTGATGCACCACTGTGCCACGTAACCACACACTAGTTACTGCTGCAGTAACCCTTTATATTCCATTCTCTTCATTCAGATAATCTGAATTAATCTCAGTGCAAACATTTATGGCCTGATTAAGGAAGAATTTTAATATAGTTCTGCCAAAAAATAATGAAATACCAAAAACCAAAATATCAAATATCATTCTCCTAATGGCCTGGCATGTCAAAAAAAGCCTGTCCTGGTTTCCAAGTGGCTGTTTTGTAGGGGCCTGAGATGTAAAATGCTTGACAAAAACTGTAGAAGCTGCCAAAGTTCTGGCAGAATGAATATGATCTTATTTGAAGCTATGTTATAACAAGCCTTAATAAAACCTGGAATGCACAAGGACAGTCTTTGAAATCAGATGACCTGTTGTATTTTCTTCAGAAGACAAATTAGCCTAAAGTCTCTAGAGGCTTTGCTCTCTGTAAAGAAAAGGGTATATACTGCTGTAAGACAGTAGAGCGGATCTAAATGTCCTCTTTTAAATATTTAAATAGACCTGCTATGAAGGCCTTTATCTTCCTGATTATTCTATGTATCTGATTAATATTCAATACAGCTTTTCATGGTTACATTTGAATGGAAGACTCATTTCTTCTTGAAAAAGGTTGCGGTGAAACATTCCAAGAAGGTAATCACATTAAAACAAGAAAATACCCCCAAACTCCTGCAAGTAAGTGATGTGCAGATTCAGAAGCTCTATGTGCTATTCCAGAAAGCTAGCACTATTTCAGGAAAGCAAGTAATATAAGACCAAGAAGTAAAAGACTGCAGAGGTTCTGCAGATTGTAAAGCCATTTAACACAGTAAGTCTATTTAGCAGAGGCTTTTACAGCATGCAAATACGCTGCAATTCTCAGATTTAACAAAACAAATACTTAAAATTATGGAAATAAGCACCTTGTAAGCTGAAATATACAAAATGATATTAAAGAACTTGAGTTGGCACAGTAGATGTTAAGGGGAACACCCTGGCTTGAGATGTCAGTGTATGAGAGAACGAGCTCCTGATAGCCCTCATTTTGTGGTGTTTAGATAGATTAGAATCCTTTTTCCTCAAAGTAATGAATGAAACATCCTTTACTTCTCCAAGAGGCAGAAGAAAAACACCCCACAGTTTTGTTCTAGTTGATTTTTTTTTTTTTTTAAAAATAGATCCTAAAAAGGGGTAGAAAGGAAGAGGTGGGCAACGGAAGCAGCACAGAGCTGGGGAGTTGGCGTACTGTTTCTAGAACCAGTCTGCTTGAGCTGTACTTTTTTTGGAATAAGGGGAAGCAATTCTCAAGTGGGAGGAAGAGTAAATGTAACAGTCTAGTTCAAATCCAAACTCTAATTCCTAATCAATTAAAATGTTTATATCAAACAATAAATCAAATACCTTCCTGTGCTAAGCTGTTTTTTCCAAAGGTGAATTTTAAAAAGATGTCAGATTGTTTAGATTATATTGATATTTTTGCACAGAAATAACATTTTATTTCAGAGCAACAGAAGAGAGAAAAACAATATGCAGAATATTTCAGTTCTTTCTTTCTTAGCATCATGTTTTTGATTAGCGTTCTCAATCATCTACCAGCATGCAGAAGCATTCTGCTCCAAGATGACATGACACTTCTTGTTTATCCTTTTTATAATGCCTATTGTGCCAACCCTTAGTTGTTTGTCTGAGAGTTGGAAGTATTGCTTACCCTGAAAAGGAGGATTTCATTCCTTGCTTAGCTAATTTTTCAGTTCAAAAGTATCCTATGAATGTCCATGAGGAAAGACTTCTGGGAAGAGTTGTGGAGACTGCACACAGACTCAGAATCTGTCAAACCAGGTATTACCTAATACCATATTCAGATAAGCTCCTCTGGTGTCCAAAGGAGCTACAAAACAAAAATCCACTGAAGACAGGGAGGACTCTTCCAGACAAAAATTAGACTACTGAAGTACTCATTATTTACATATATGGCCATATTTCATGCGGAAGTGTACATAACATACGAAGACCTGAAAACTTCCAAAAGTAAAAGTTCCAACGAGGATGTGATCTAATGCAAGTTAAAATGCCAGTATTTACAAAGACCTACAGTGAAGAAGCAAACAAAAGCCCCTAAAGTCTGTTACTTGACACAAGGACACTGGGCCTTTTTTGTCTACCTGTGGTAAGAACGAACCAACTTACGATTTGTATTATTCTTTATATTTCCATACAGAAGGTATTGAGGTTTATTCATAATTTCCACGGATGCTGCTGGCCAAGGATTCTACTCATGTGCACACAGGCTCAAATAGAAAGCCACACATGAGCAAGTGATTGAAGAAAGCCTTGAATCACAGAATAAGATACACCAAATAACTCATTGTAAGTTTTCTGAAATAACAGCTTCCAGGAAGGACAGTGTGTGCTGAATTGTTATTTGTTTCTTAAAGTAATTTGAGTACTATCCATTCTGAAGCATCTTTTCTTGGATAGTAACATTGGGTTTTAGCAACTTGTCTTTTTCCTTGCACCCTTACTTTCTGCTTTTTCTCTATCTCCCTTTCCTTGTTCACTTAAAAATGCAACGCGACTTGTCATTCTTGCTATGCAACTGTCACACTTGCCTTCTCTATCTTTGAACCACTTCCTCTGTCTCCAAATTAATTTCCTGAAGCATTAATTTGTTTTCTCATAACAGTCCACTACAACTTCCTGACCCTATGGCGCAGGAGTTACAAGTCATAAACCATGTTCTTCAGAACCAAGAAGTGGAAGAAATTACAAGAGTGACAGGTGGAAAATACTCGATTTTCAGGGTCTATCACAGGATGGGGTTGGAATTACATTAGGTCCAATGGCTGAGCAACAGCACTGGTCCTAGCACTTCTTCCTGGCTTACTTCCTATCATATCCTCTCTATTAGTCATTATCCGCATATTGCACAGAACTGCTGACAGACTGCATGAAGGACAACAGAAATAGTTGCATCATCTCCGTTATCTGGACATCTACGCAGCTGATGAGGAATGTTTTGATTTCAACACAAATTCATGCTGCAATGTAATTATTTAACAGAAATTACTTAATTACCGCACAGAAGAACGTATAAATACATGGGTTTATACTTCTGAAAGAGAAGAACATTAGCATCTGTAAGCATTTTGTCCGAGATGAAAACTTACCCCTTGCGCATGGAGATATTCAACGGTTTTTGTTATTGTGAACAAAACAGCACTAGCTTCTCGTTCTGAGAAAAATTTTTGCCTAAGAATTTTATCCAGCAGTTCTCCTCCTTTCATAAGTTCTGTTACTACGTATACGTATTTTCCATCATCATACACCTGCAAAAAGTACATAAAGATGTAAACTTCAAAATATTTGTTCTCTGCTATCTTCCTGTGAAATGCACAGAGATAGTGCAGGTGCGTCCACAAGCTGTTTTCTTCTATTATTTTTCCCATATTTCTCTCCCCACACACTATCCAAACATTGTTCATCTTCAGAAATGAACACAAAACCTTCTACAAAAAGGTAGTACAGTAATGAAATAACACAAAGATACTGGCATGTAAATGCTTAACACAAAAAAAAGATGAATAACATGTAGTTTTCCCCATATAGTTTTACTGAAACAAAATAAAATAGACATGGGGGAAATTAAGTAGTAGCAATAAATGGAAACTACTCTCATTAAGGAAAAACTAGAGCTAATTCTAGAAGCAGTTGTTGCACCAATTTACAAATATAAACAGAGATCATTACAACTGAAGTCAGACAAAAAAAAGTAAAAAAAACCTAAGTTCACCTTCTCTCTGTGAACACTGAAGTTAATGCATACAAAGCTGCTACGATAAAAGCCTACAACTTACACATTACTCTGCACATAAAGCCTATACCAAAGTCTAAAATTAATAAAACGTATATTTTAGCCCTTCTAGTTATGGAAAACAGCTTAATTTTTGCATGGCCTTTCCCTCCTAGGGAAACAATAGTTGAGAATTACATTATCACCAGGGGGCACTACAGACTGAACTATACCAAAACACTTTCTCAGCTATACTTAAGCATTTCATTTCAGTTGCACTTTCTTGGAGTTTTAACTCAGAAACTGGTTTCTGCTTTAGCAAAATCTTTTACAAGACTCTGTTCCCTATTTTTATTTCAACCTATTTCTATGGTGATGTTGGAATCTTCTCTTCCATAATATGCGTGAAATAAAAAATAGTTTGTGTTTAAGTAGAAACAACTATTCAAGATGTAGTAAAATAAATTTATGACTAGATATCAGCTAAATTTAAAAAAAGAGTTTTCATCCCAATTTCCTTGTCTTAAGCTACCTAGGAAATACAGGCTACTAAATTTCTAAGCTTAGAAATTTTTGTACTCTTAACTATACTAAATGGATTATTTTCTCACCAAATAAAAAAAGAGGAAGAGTGTTAAATAAATAATTCTGCAAAGTTTACTAGCTTATGATCTTAAGGAGAGGAAGAGATGATGAGTTTCTATGTTCTCATTTAACAGGAATTTTTCACCCATGAAATATAAATAACTGATCATCTGAACGTGTTTGTATTAAGACTTTAACTATTACACAGTATTAAAAAGTAGAATTGTGTAAGTCTAGATACTAAACTGGCAGTTTAGATTTTTTTTTTTTTTTTTAAAACAGACATGCTCTCTCTAATCCTGGTATAACATGAGGAAATAAGCTTATTTCATTTGATACTACGAAGCACACACATCTCAGTACTGCAGGGGGCATTCAAACAAAATTTGCATTTAATTGCTATTTTATCTGCTACCCCTTGCTGGTCCTGTCTGCCTGCCAACCCCCTTTTTCCAAACCCCAAAAAAACCAAACCAAAACCAAACAAACCCAAAACCCCACCCGAAACAAACCATTCCCCTCATCCTGATTTCACTAATGGTATTATCAATTTAATTGTCCGATCCCAGGAAGTTGTTTGCCCTGAATAAACACTTTTGAGCTGTTCTTCACAGGCAGGGGCACAGTATTATGCTAAGATCATAAATGTGATGCTAATTTTCAAAATGAACTCCTGGCACACATCAAAGATCAGTCAGTACGTCTTCTCTACCAGACAAACTGGAAGAAACTATAGTGAGAAACAGATGTAGGCACATGAACAAAATATAATGTAATGGAGAAAGAGAACAGGGTTTTTGCAAAGTGAAATAAGATTTCACATACATATTAGGAGGTTTTTTGAACTAATAAATAAGCACTTGGACAGGGACTGGATATATTGTATTCAGGTTCCTAAAAAGCTTCTGAAAAAATTGTTCAGCCAATGCTTTAAATAACTCAACAAGACAAAAAGTTCTCTTACAGAACAGTAACTAATAGGTAAAAGAGGGTAAAATACATATAATGGTCTGGCACAGGAAGTTTCTATGTAATCGTTTGTTGGAGGCTGTGTGCTTCCTCCATTCTTACACTGTTTCCTAGGCATCCACTAACGGCCACTGTCAGAGGCAGGATATTGGATAAGAAGGACATCTGATTTAGCACAGTATAGCTCCTTCTTTTGTTTATATACTGTGGAACTGAAAAAGACCACTGATAACAATCAGAAGGAAAAACCCCAGAGGACTGTGCATTGCAGAAAGAATTTGGTGTTCTGAATATCCATTGTTTCAATCCAAGCACCTTCAGAATTAAGCTACATAAAAAAGGCTGAGCAAGAATGAAAATTTCCATCCTAAGTTAAATGCAAATATTACTGCACTTATTCTTGAAATACAAGAAAAGAAATAAATTACTTCTTGCAGAATAATAATTTCCAAAGACATGCACTTAAATGCCGAAACATTTTATTTTGGCATTTCAAAATAGAAACGTTTACATTCTGGTGTGGAACTGAATGAAAAATTGAGTCAAATCAACATTGAGTTTTATTTGTATGATTCACAGTGCTCTTGATGAGTTTGAGGCCTGAAGGCCAAATACTCCTTATTCTTTCCTCTGAAAGTGTAATAGCACACCATTATATTGTGAGATATGCAAGCAATCCGCCCCGTGCATCTATATTAGGACAACAAAAACTTAAACCAATGTTAAATTCTTACAGTAGTGGATATTATATAAGTTCCTATTACATATGAATCCTATATCTCTTTCCTTACCCTGGACATACTTCCATAAACTCTGCCTGAGGAATTGATCTGAGTAGAAATAAGTGAGAATTATAGCCTACTGTCTTTCTTCCTCTGTGGATTTAAGGCCTTTTTTTTTTTTTTTTTTTTTGTAGTCTCTTTTTGCTATTTATGTGTTACTGCTGGTGCGAATGAAAGATGGATCCTGCTGGAAGATGACTGACAATGAAGAATTAATTACAAAGTAAAATGATTCAGCATACGTGACAACTTTTCAAGGCTGCCTGGGTTTCTCTGCTCTCAGTGTAAAATATTCATCACGCTAAAGTTCAGGTTAAGTACTCACATCCCTTATGTTTGTCTTCCTGCTTAAAATAACATAACCTCTATTATGAATTAAAAGTAACACATAAACCTAGCATGCAGCGCTAAATGCAACGTGAATGCTGATGCAGGTTCCGTGTTAGCACAGTTGCTTTCAGGTGGGTTTAATGTCCAACCACGTGAAGCAGAACAAACAGAACGTGGGATTGTAATTATGATACCTAGCTTGCAATAAGGTAAGCTCCATGGTGGGCTCCCTTGTATATCCGACTTACTTTGTTCTCCCAAGAAAGGGCCAAACTACACGATACTGATAAAGACAGATTATAGTAGAACAACTACTTTAGGCAGAGTGCTCTAGTACTCATCTCCACAGTATTTATGAGCTACTGTTTTAATGATTTCAAAATGTCTGAGAATCTCCCTTCAGCTGAGCTCAGCTTCCTGTTAGCTGTTTTGCTTGAGGTTTGGTTTTGGGGACCAGAATACTTTCTTGCGGACTGAGAAAGTTATTAAGCATATGCCTTTAATTTTTAATCCTCTTTAATGCATAATCAAGGAGAGAAAGACAATTTTCTTTTTCTGTTAGATCATCAGAATCTACTGTTCACTATGAAAAACCTCTACTTCCCAACTTACGTTATTCTTTGCTTTTTATGGTTAGAACAAATAATACAAGAAAGAAATAGCTAGATAATCTTCCGTACAAAGACCAGATAAAGAGACTAGATAAAGAAAAGCGATGACCATGGATATGAAAACACTTAGTCCACTACTGAGTAACACTTGTTACTGTCCATGAAAATTACTTTGGGTATTGTGCTAACAGTGAGTCCTCAGTTACATACTTTAAAATTGTTTTTGACTAATGTAAACAAAAGTGCATTTGAAGTTAACTAAGCAATCAAAAAACTTGCTTGTTCCTTTAAAAATACAGGCAACATTAAATGAATTATCCCTGTACTAGGTTTTATGAAGGATGAATTATTTGACTGCTTAGGATTACACTGTACCAAAATATGAGCATCTTTAAAAGATGACAATGAGACATCTCAGTAAAAAATTGGATATTGTTGGACAAATTGCATTAGGACGTTGTTTTATTTTTAAATACTGAAAAACATGAACATAAATCTAAAACATGTAGTTTGTCATCTCTCAAATTAGAAAGTGATATGTAATTATAATACACTAAAGGATGTCTTTAACATACTACTTACGTCTTTTAGGGTAATAATATTTGGATGCTGTCCATAGCGCAGTAGGATTTCAATCTCCTCTGTTGGATCTCTTTTACTCTTGTCAATGATCTATAAGAGCAAAGAGATACACAGGCATAATTCTTTTTGTGAATATTATATAGTGTAAAACTTTGGTGTGCTTACTAGCATAAACAGATAAGCAATATTAATTGTTGTTGGTAAAAGGTGTAGATTACAACCAAACCAGAGTTTCTTAAATTGGAACAGCAAGGCAAAGCAAAAAGCATTGGAAAAACATAAAAAAAAAATATCTCAGTTGAAAACAATTTTGGAGGATAAATGATCTGATCCCTCAGGCTGTGATAAATAATGCAAGGCTGTTTAGTAGATAAGACTTCAGTCATCTACCCTTTAATAAAATAGGAAGTTCTTAATTTGACATGAGATACTGATTTGATGATGCCAATGAACTGATTTTCACAAAGCTAATCTCAAACAAATATTTAGTGCAGCAAAAGACAAAGCAGGAGAGTAAGGGAATCAAAAATAAGAAAAAGGAAAAATTTCTCAGAGTTAATTCAGACAAGCATTCCATTATGAAAGTTCATTTGAACCTCTGGAGGCTTGCTATCAGGCTCTGAAATTCTCCCTCTGCAAACAAGCAAAACTCATGTTTTGCCCTACTTAAAATGTATTCTTACTCTTCTCCTTTTTTTTCTCTCCTTCTGTACTGTAGAATTTCCTCTAATGTTTTCTCCATCTCTGTCTTACCCCTTCTTCCTCTTGACATCCTACAGCCCTTACTGCTACCAGCACCGTCCTAACACACTGGACACTGATCACCTTATTCTTTTTTCATGATCCTTGAGGAAAAAAAAGCCACAACAGAGGCAGCAGAAAAAAGTGAGGCAATCGTCGCAACAAATGTTATGGCTTAGAGAATTAACAGTGATACCAGTACTTTCTTCCAGTTTCAAGAAATTACTTCAAATTGCAAGCACAGAAGTCAAGTTTGTTCCTGGCCAGAACCAGAATAATGACAAGTATGTAACTACCAAATTGAAATTGGAGGGTTTCCAGTAGACAGTCTGTGTACAGGGATAGAGCAAAACATACTGAAATTTATCTTTGCGTTTTACATATTTAAGTAGTAAACTGTTCAACAATTCAAAAAGAGAACAGGATTTAATTTTTTTTTTCTTTTAAAGTCTGCTAATCTATACTCCTGCTTTCATAGTAACCATTCAGCTCGACAGTGTTATACACTTTATATAGACAAAAAACCCCTTATCATTCCACTTCTGGGAACTCTACTGATTTCAACTAAGAATTTAATGCCTTCAGAGAAGTGCTAGAAAGCCCAATAGAATAACACAAAACCAGCAGAAACCTTGTTAAAAAGTAGCAAGCAGAGACAAAAGAGTTGAAGTTTATTCTGGAAGGTATACCAGACTTAAGCACTGAACTCTTAGCTATCCAACAATTTATGAATCTACTTTGGAAGCAAAAAGCCCATATATAACCAAGTAATCAATCACATTTTTCAAAAAAGATGGAAAGTCATGTAAGCTTTTCATAGTATGTTTCCTTCTAGAAGCAGTCATGTAACTCCCATCAGTTTTAGTGTAATTACATAGGTGTTTCACAGACTGAAGATTGCTTTTCACCACCCAAACCAGCATATAGATAACAAAACCCATAGCAATTCTATATAAATATCTGCCAGTAAATATTCTATTTGGTTGATTAGTATAATTCACATTTGCATCTAAAATCCTTTTATATTAAGAAAATTATCTTAATTTGCTATGTTCTTTATGGCAAATAAATTAATCATGCCCTATATCTATGATGCTAAAACCTGAAAACGGTTGCTGTGCTTTATAATGAAGTAATTACCTTTACAGCATATTCCATGTTTGAAGCTTTATGAATACATCTCTTGCAGATAGAGTAAGACCCAACTCCGATATCTTCCTTTACTTCATATCCATCAGTAAACTGAATGCTGTTCCTGTGCAACTGCTACCAAAATAACATTATCAATTGATGAATATTCTAAATATATAATTGACCTTTATATTAAAAATAAGTTTTTGAATTCCTACTGATTTGCTTGGAATTTTAAACTGATGGCTGTACTAGGTCAAACTGGTCTAAATAGCCTAGCGGCTATTTGATATTTGATCTTCTGTTTGATATTAGTATGAGATAAATTACATATTAGAGACACTGTAAATAATGTACACTCTATTTTAGAAACTGACAACATGATGTTTCTGGTTACCAATTCATTAATTTAAAGACAGAATCTCCAAACCAACAAAGATCAGAAGACTACATGATCAAATAATGATAAAATAATGGTAAAAAAGCATCACTGTTTCTATTATATGAATAGATGAATGCCAGCTGGAAAATTCAGACATACTAAACAGAATCACATTAACTGGAAATTGCAAGGAATGGCAGTCAAAAATCCTTTCACAGAAATAAAAAGCTGAAAGAAGGACAAGTGTTCACTCTTGTAAGGAAAGGAAATTATGTTCTAGTATAAGGAGCTTGTGCAAAGGATGCAAAGCATTTGCAGGAAACCATCTGGGTATCCTGCAGCACAGAAAAGAGGAAATAGGAGTGAGGAAGTGGTTGAGGGGCACAGAGGAAAAGCAGCAGAGAAACAGACTTTTACAAGAGAAGGAAACCATACACAAAGAGGAAGAATTTAATCCACAAAATTATGTGGGAAAGAAGGAGCACAGAAAAGCTCCTTTTAGCAAGACTTCAGGACCAGAAGTTGCTCTGATGTGTATACCAAATCAAACAGCTTCTTTAGAATGAAGAAAGGTCTAAAACCCCTTGAAATTTAATGGTTTATTAGACATGAAACAGGTAATGCATACAGACAAGCATGTTATGACTATTCTAGACATAATAAGAGGATTAAAGAAATACAAGAGCTCTTCATGTTCTGAATAAACTGTTTTTTAAAAATTTTCTCAGACATTTACAAACTATCCTTGTGGTGAAAACAGAAACAAACCCCATCATACAGCATACCTTTTTATTCCTACCTATACACCAATAAGAAGTTTTCAACACAGTTTAGGTCACCATTTAGTTTTCATGACTCAGTCTCCCTCAGTAATTAGCATTATTAAAAGCAGAAAGAGAAGGTAGAAATACAATTTTTGCAGAGGTCTTCCAGTTTTCTTTCCTGTACATGCATCTGCTTTTTTCCTGCTGGTTGCAAACTCTCCAGTGCTGAAGCATGCTTTTAGAATGACCTCAGCCTCATAAGGAGGCAAGGCACGCCTCTCCTCAATTCTAGCATGAGACCCACCTTTCTTGTCTCACACAAAAACTGCACCTAAGCAAAGCTTTGATGTCCAAAAATAAGCAGTACTGGTAGTAACAGAATACATAAGAATAGCAATTAAATATAGCAATTAAAAGTGACAACCTCACAATTACTAATACAGGAGACTGTACTGGAGTAATTCTAATACTGCTAGGAAGCCAAAGGTTGTGTGAGTACTGTAACATTGACTTGTATTATACTGAAATTAGTCACAAAATATCACAGATGAGTACATTAACTTAAAGTGGCTTGGGAGGGATGGCATGTGTCCTTGGTCATGGGTTCCAGAACACACAGCAGTCCAAAGTATCCAGATGAAATTCACAATTGTACTCCAGTGATTCCTACAGTGCAGTAGAAGGCAACTGATACTTTCATGCATAGGGGGAGAAAGATCAAGATGTCTGTTATTCCCCTCCACCTCATAATTATGGCTTGATATTGAAGAGTTATTACAGTACATATGGTAGAGTGTTTTCGTTTAAGGGTTGAAACCTATTCACACCTGTGGCTGCTCAGTAATGAAACAGGTCCTGCACCTTCAAAGGTATTGTTTGGATAAAATAATCTGATCTTTACTTTTCTTGTATAAAGCTGATAATGACTTTGTCATGGTACTTCATTCTGTGATGAAGGAAACAATCCCTCCACCAAGAGACAGCAATGCTGCTTTATTGACTTTTTTTTAAAAGCGGATGTACTCACCTGGACAATTGAATGCACTCCAACTGTCTGCATTGCTTGGCTTTCATCATCTGATGCAATAGCTACAAAACTAAATCCCCGAAAAAGTTGATGTGCATTAGCACTAGGTGGGATACCAGGTGAATCTGAAAAACACATCATCTACTTAAAAGCAGAGTTTTTAAAATGTAGAGATGAGGTTATGTCTATTCTGAAGAGCAAACTACAGCTTTAGTTTATAAAGTACACAGAAACTGGGATTTGCAGAGAACATTTCTGAGGGCCAAAATACAAATAATTACTGAACTGTTTTGCATATACCATCTAGAAACACAACTGAGAATCAACGATTACAAAGATCATATTACTGTCACTAATATTTTAATATGCAAAAAACAGTACTTTGCAGAAAATGTTTACATATGGCAGCATATTTATGTTATATTTATGGAGGAGAAGTACTCAAATTTTGGTAACACCCTAAATTTGTAAAGACAAAAATTTCTATCATATATTGAATGGATCAGTGTAAAACTATGCAGAGACAGACTGCACTGAAACGGCAACTTTGCCACCCAAAGTCTGAAATGACTAAGTTTCCACATAGACATAGTATGTAGAGTCACCATCATGAATTAAATGAAGCCACAGGATATAGCCTTTAAAGATGCACAGATACAGATAATCTTTTTTAATTTAAAAAAAGAAAAAAAGACATTCGTAAACTTGAACTTATGTATGTTTTGCTGCTAAGGATGACTTTATTTTTAACATAGGACAACTCAGTAGTCCCCCGTGATATATTTACACCAAAGACCACAAGAACTTTTATGAACTATGGAATACTTGTCTTTGAGCATTCATTTAGCCCAGCAACACCTGGAAGAACAAGATACTTTACATAACCTGAACAGGAACAATGTTTCCAATTTTTGCAGAGGTAAATTGTTCAATTCTTCTCTTTTTACCTTTTGGAGTTTTTGCTGTAAACTCGGGGTCAAAATAAAACGTATCTTCGGGTCTGCCAGTTGCAGGTTTAAAAGGGGGATGAATTTCTCTCCTGTACAATTTCTGAAGAGAAGGTACATGCCAGAGTCAATTAAGAAGTTATACGACACCACGAAATAATTAACTAAGAAATTTATTAAATTAATTTTGAATTAGATACTCACATTCCAGTCTATTTTGGAGAAGAATGCATGCCTCTTAATTTCTTCAACTCCATCTGGACCTGCTCCTTTTATAAGGAAGAAAAATGTCTGTGAATTATTTTCTTCTTGGTCAAAAGTATGACTAGCAAAAATATATTTCTTGTTTATTCTGCATTAATTTCAGAAGTATGTATTTTGTTGATCATTAGAAGAGCAAACAGGCAAACTATGCTGCTATTTTACACAAGAAACTGTAAAATTATTTAGTCAGTCTAATGATCACTCATGTTAGCAATATTATGATCCAATTTAAAATATTCCGCTAAACACTTTACCTAATCTGTTTGCTGGGTTTCTTTTGAAGAGCATTCGCAGAAGACTCTGTGCTTCAGGACTCAAGAACTGGGGCATTCCAAGTTTGGCCCTATAGAACAAAAATAATTAATAACATACAAGCATATTGAGGTAAGAATTAACTCTGTGTTCCCCCTGTCCTTTGTCGTTCAACAAATCCATACCAAACAAAACAGCATCACTGAGAAATTGCCTTCAGACATCAGAAACAGAGCAAAAGTGCTGTCAGTCATGTAAACCTGTAATTTTGATTTTTTTTCTGTTTTGAGTAGTATAATATTTTCAGTAATGACTCAGGAACCTAAGTAGAGGAAGAGGTGGTAAAAAAAAAATGTAGAAAACAGTAAGTACAGAGTAACAGTTTACAAACTTGTAAATTTTTGTAATACGTTTTGATTCACTGTTAAGTCCAGTTATTACCAAATGACATCAAACAAGCAAATCCATTCTGATAGTAAGATAAAAGATATTTTAGAAGGGGTAAGAAAACTACTACAGTATGACATACACCAAGAACACCCAAGCAAAACAGGAAACCTAAGCTAGAAGATAGCAATTGAATTAAGGTAAGACAGATCTTGCAAGATTAGCACATTAAAAAAAGAGAAAAAGATCTTCCTTTTTTTTGCTCCCCTCAATCCATTTCAAATATTACTTTCCAACTTGCCAGCCTTGAATCTTTAAGTTTTTGTACTTCTGTCATTTAGCTTTGTTTTGTAATCCTCACCATTTAATGTTGAGCTTCCATCCTCTCACTGGTACTAGGGTCTCACTTTTTCTTATGACCACGATAATGGTAAGGATGGATATAATTCCCTCCTTTCTATCTCTCATTCAACCTGTAGCTTGTGTTTGTCCATAACAATCCACGACACGAGCTTTCTCTGTGTTTCAACCAGAAGACGTGATTTGCCTTGTGTTCCAGCTATTCATAGATGTCCACCTCCCTGTCACTTCAGCAAGTGCATACACATTGCGATTGATTCACTATTCATTACTTTAACACTAGAATTTACTAAATTTTCCATTCCTTTCTGCATTAAGGAAGCTGGGGCGGGGGAGAGGGGAAGTCTGAAAAACTTTGCCTGCCTTGTACTCTTCAATAACATACCACTGGCAGATCAAGACCACCAACTGAGTGGAGGAATGGGCAGTGGGCCATCCAACACTTCCCGATTGCCATGCACCCCTAGCAGCTGAATTCTTACTCATGCATTTTATATGCAGTGATTGCATGTTCACTCGATGTAATTTCTGCTCACAGCAAAGTATTAGAAAGCTACACTGTAAGAAGGAAGCAAGGTCTGCAGAAGTACAATGGTAAAATTTACAATGTTATTGAAGGACAGAGAACAGACAACTAAATATGATAGGACTGTGCTGGAGTGGGTGGAAATCTTTGTCCTATTATAATCCAAAACAGCTCCAACAGTAGGATGCAGCCCTGGAGGTTCAGCATGAGAGGTCAACTGCTTAGAAAAAAAATCTAAAACTAGGCAAAAAAACCATAACTGCAATTAATCTTACAGAGAAGTGACTCAATGAACAGAAACAGAATATGTAGAAGAAATTCTAGAGGACTGGTATGTACTGCAGTCCACAGTGGAGTGAATTGGAGGCCCTTGTGCATGCCACAGAGATTAAGACCGTTGTTGCTCCCTTTCTATCATGAAGGAGCACCTTTCACAAAATCCTTTACTGGCTGTGCGACACAGCAGGGGAAAAAAAAAAAAGGCAACCACCAGGCCCTCAGAGGTCCTTGGTTATATAACTACATGAGTGACAGCATTTTTTTTCTGACATTCCTGATGGACAAAGACAAAATTTCATATGAAGGCATACCTCTTCAGTAAAGGAGAAAAGATGCTTTAAAAAGTTAACTTTATTGCTGCCAACTATGATTTCTTCAAATTGCAGAGTTTCTCAGTTTTAGGTAAAACACACAAGAATAAACAAAAACTTGTCTTGGTAATGTTGTGAGAAATAAAGAGCCCAGGAAAACATGTGTTGTAAGAATATATTTTCTGTGGATTTTGAAGAACAGAAGGCAAGAAAAGCAATATATCTTAAATGATACACTATGAAAATACAAATTTGTATAACACTTGTCCATTTTAAACAGTTTTATGAAAAATTTAAGGAGAAATACAGTGCATTTCCTAGTATACAGAAAATAAAAAGAAAACATACTGCCATTCTTAGGGGGCCAGACAAAAAATGTGAACTTATCAGGAAAGACTTTAAAATATCTTCTGTTTTTCAGCTGTTCATATTACCAACAGCAAAACAAATTTATATGTCTGTAATTAATTGTAAGTGTACAAAACATTAAAACAGGTAAAATTTCTTTACTTTGTACCACATTTTTTGTGCAGCTGTCTGAAACTAATAACAATTACAAAGACTAAAAGGTGAGAGAAGAAAGAAGTTGGAAAGGGAATTAGAAATACATGCTCAGATGAAATCTGAAAAGTAGTTATGAATGTCAATTAACTGGGGAGATGCAAGGAGGATATTCTACATGGCAGCTGACTACAGAAGAATTTTGTAGCAACATTTGAAAGGCTGTTGAGGAACACAGTGAAGTCACATGCAGGCAGAGAAAAGAAGAGAAAGATATGATTTGATGACACATGGATCGGGGGGAAAAAAAAGCATGGCTCCTGAAATAAGTGAGAGTGCAGCAGAACTATCTCAAACTAGCTTCTTGTAAATAGGAGGTGGTCAGGAGTTAACGCTTGCTGTGAATAGATAGAACCTTTTAGTTAAAGACATTCAATAATCACAACATGGACTGGCATGGTGTTGAGGCAGCAGAAGAAATTAGCACCACTAAATACATTTGCAAATATAAGATGAGGAAGAAGAACAAGGGCAAAGAATAGCATAACATGTATGCATTATGAAAGCAAAAACAAGGAAAAGAATGAGTTTATGTTTTCTAGTGGTTTTCACATTCTAAATACTTCAAAAAAATATGAAAGAATTTCATATATTTACTTTTCAAAACAGGCTGTTGGTGCAAAAGAAATGCTGGCTTTGATATATAGGTAGACAAATGGTAACAGGGCTAAGAACAATGATAAACAATGAAACAGAAAACAAATGAGAAAACTAAAATAATCTTACGAGCTTCCACAGAAAAAAAAAATGGTATTAGTAAAAAAAAATAAATAAATAAATAAAAAAAAGGCTGGAAACAAAGAAGTGAAAGTATGACACGAGGAAACAGAATTGTTTGCACAGCATTAGCCTACAGTCCCAGAAGAGGGACAATTATGTCACAAGGTTGTTTTAGTTCAGAAAATACGTGGGGGATCAGCAAGAAAAAATAAAGCAGGCCTTCATTAGCAAAAAAAAAAGAATGTTAACTGCATGATGGAAAGCAATTTCCACAATATAGTTAATGCAAAACCTATACTGGAAATAGCAAAGGGGATAATTGGAGCTTGGGCAAGTCATAGGAAAGTACATAAGGGAGGAGGCACTTCAGCAAATAGGGGAAGTATCAGGGAAGCAAGTTGTTGGCAGCACCAGTAATATAAAGATGTAAGGTGAGGAGTTGGTAAGATAGAGGAGGAAAAGGAGAGAAAATACTTTCTCAAAAAAAACTAAACCAAAAAACAACAAGGAAAAAATGCACAGGTTATCAAAAAGGATAAGAAAGTTAAAAAATATTATGGATATAAGATGGGAAAGATCATATGGTTGGAGAAGTTATTATTGCAGATTAAAGAACTGCTATGAAATTCTTTGTACCTGGTATGGGGGAGGAATAGAAAGGCAAATTAGATAGGCGGCAAAGGGGATTACTAGTATGGAATAGGGAGTGAGGATTTACCAGTACCTTTGGAAATGAGGGAAGAGTAGAAATTAGATATTGCAGCCCGGAGGGCATCCCTGTAGAATACCTGATGAGATATATAAATAAGAGTGTACTCACTTGAGAATCATAGTCATGGTTTCTTTTCTGTCTTTCCCTTGGAAAGGTAGAGTACCAGTGAGCATTTCAAACTGTATAGAGTAAAACTTTCATCAATTACATTACCTGGACAAAATCTAATTTTTGACAAAACTACTTAGCATCTTAACCTTCCAAAATTCATGCATGTTAATAACCAAGTCTGTGCAAAGCAACTTTTCATTGTACAATTTAAATTACTGTGAACATCGAGCAGCCTTTGCCATTTTTAAAGCTGCAAAATATTTTCCTATATTGATACCTTGCTTTACATGCTTTTATCTGAACAATTTAGACTATAATGTTCTGTGTTTCATTTCTGCCTGAGAAGTTTGCTCTTGGAAGACTTGATCTATACAACTGTATTTTAGTTTTCAAGAGGGTGGGGGGTAGGGAAAAAGATTCCCCTTTCAAAAGTTAGTGATGATTTCTCCTCATGCAGAGATATTTAAAAAGGTCAAAATTTTTAAAATTGGCATGTACATAGCCTTCATTGGGAAGGGGAAAAAGGTTAGTTGATTGACAAAGACATGCGTGATGAAAAGTGGTTACTGTATGCATACAGTGGAAATAAAGCCTGAAGAAACATGTAAGAGCTACACAGTACGTGCATGCACATTCTCCAGTGCCTGGTAGTAGGCAACAGACACTGTTAAAATACTGATTTGTTCTGAAAGTGACTGAGTAAAAATAGATAAAGGCACTTCTGTTGGGCTACGGTATACTGCAGGGGTATCAGATCTAAGCGAGGTACTGAAAGCAGTCTGGCAGCAGTCACGACAGCCAACACTGAGGCAGGAATTCTGATTTTTGGTTTAAGAATTGCAAACCAATTTAGTTTAATGAAATTTCACGGCATACACTTAAAGCCATTAAAATTAAAGCAATTATAAAGGAACCCTCTGAACACCTATGCAAACTTAAGTCATCCTGAACACAAGGTATCCTCTATTCCTCTCTTTTCTGGTATGACCCAAACATTCAGCCTACTAAGCATTAAAAATGTAGATGGATAACTTGAGTGAATAATGTGTGACAGTAGTATTCTTAGATCTACAATAAAAGCATGAAGTTGCATTAACAGCATTCTTTAAACCCCTTTTTATTAAAACAAAATTTTAAATTTCTTACTACCCTATAAAGTATTCAGAGAATGAAAGCTGCCAACCCTTCAGTACTGCTAGATACTTTTTACTCTAAATATTATTTTTTACATATATACTTATATTTAAAATTTTAAATTCAATATAATGCCAACATGAAAAAAAACTTACTTTTAACTTTAACACTTCTTAAAACAATTGTCAGGAAGATGTGAGAGGCATAAGCAAAAATTATTTTAAAAAAAATCACCTTTTGTTTGTTTATAGTTTAGAATGATCTTCACAAATTGCTCTTGCAAAAAAACCTTTTTAAAGGTAAATTTATAGTGCTGCATGTTTTGCTTACACTTGCTTGAAATAAAAAGTTTCTTTAGCAAGCTCCTATTTGTCACAAGCATACACACTTGTATTAACAACTCAGCAGACATGCTCTTTGTCACCCCAAAAAATACTATTCCAACATCTATAGGCCAATAGTACTTTAAGAATAAGCCAACAGTGGCCTTCCCTAGTTATCATCTTTTATCTCAGCAGGAGAGTACCTCAACAAATAAATAATACTTTGAAAACTTTAAATGAATGTTTTTAGATGTCTAGCATCCCTTAGAACAGTCACTGTTTTAAAGGACAAATTGGAATATACTTCTCAAGGATGGTTTAGACATACTTAAGTGTCTAGCAGCAGGAGAAAAGAAGCCAAATGATTTGTTGAGATGTCTTTCTAGTCTCCCTTTCGATGCTATAACTTCTGTTCCATCTAGATATTGTGTACTCATACCACACCAACAACCACTTGAATTCTCAATCAACACAGATTCTAATTAGGAATGATTTAAGAGTGGATACATACAGATTGTCTATGAAAATTACCACGTGAACTAGAAATGCAAGCAACAAAAATATGCCTTAGAGAAAACTGCACCGTATTCCATGTACTCATTTAAAGAATTTGCTTTTTAAGGTCATATTTTGGTATTCAGAGCAGAAGCCGAAGTGTTTAAAATGCAGTGCACTTAGACTGTGAAAGCTACCCTAGCCATATCTAACATGTTTCAGCAATTTTCATCTTTAACATACGCACTTTATAAAGCTGGAAAACATAATTTTGTGCTTATAAAATCAAGCTGAAGTTTAACTATGTTTGTGTTATCAGTAACAAATATTCTGCAACTACACTGTAATTACCTTTTAATTGACTGTATTCTTACTGATAAAATGTGCAGTTGTGAGGGGATGCGTGTGTGCTTGTCTGTCGAGAGAGTTTATTTATCAGGTGCTACTTTTACATAGTCAGTTTTCAGATCACAACAGCATTCTAGATGATTAAAAGGTGATAGGATGACTTTTTTTCAGACACAAGTCCTCGTACTACAAAGCGCACACATTAGTTGTACTGTTACAGTCATATGTAGCAGAAGCAGTAAGAAACAAAAACATTTCCTTTCAAAAATACAATTAATCTTTATGTCAAAAATGCACACAAAGATTATAAATATTAAAAGCCACTCAGCATTCCTAAAATACCAAACGTTATCTATTTTTCTATTCCAAAGCCATATTTGATACACACACTATTTCCCTGACCCTGCAACTTCACAGAAGTTAACTCCTTGCAGAAAAACCTTAAGCAACTGAACAACTATATCCCACATTAGCTCAGTGTCATTTAGATTACTTTGATGTGTAAAAGCAACAGCTGTCATTATTCCACCAAGCTGTAATTACACTGGAGACTAATTAGAAAGTTATCACTCATTTTTCTTCCACTTGAGAATAAATTCAAATTTAAAATTTGGATCTAAATTTCTTCCCTGCCTGGGAAGAGAGAGTATTTTTCCTGTACACTTTAGTATTCCTATTAGTCTCCGTAACATTCAAACTACAATAGATGCATAATATTTAAACTCAACGATAACAAAAATACAGCATATTGTTGGTGTTGATATGAAACCTAGTCCACATTCTTGATCCAAATTCTGTGGTATTGTTATTAATTTCAAATAATTTAGACTTTTTGGTAGTTAGAATTCATTTAAAGCTCACCTTACAGTTTAATGTTTGACTTGTTTCAGCAAACCTCGCAAAGCACAGTTTTGCTATTATTTACATTTACCAGAAACCTACCATTAAAACACCAAAAGACCACCAGTCTGCACTCTGTGTATGGCCTCGTCTATTAACGACTTCTGGTGCCATATATTCCACTGTTCCACAGAAAGAGTAGGCTTTTTTTTCATGATCAATTGACTCCTTACTTAAGCCAAAATCTGGAAGAAAAAAAGAATAGTTCTAAATATAATTTAAAAAAAAAAAAAAACAAAAAACCACTCATGGTTAATGCTTTCACCGTGATGCTTCTATCATTCATATATTCACCCAAATACACGTATTACAGAATTTTCCACCCCTCCCTGCATTATCACAGGTCCACAACATCAGATATACTTGTAAAGCAGATATTTATTTATTTCAAACTAATTACACTATTTGTGCCACAGCAAAATTACCTACCAGTTAACATTACTTATTTGTTACCATATCGCTTTACCAAAAAAAAAGGAAAATGCAAAGATTTTATTATGAACAGAAAAGATCCAGGTGTTGCAATTTCCCTTTACTCACCTGTCAATTTGATATGTCCTTCCTCATCAAGCAGGATGCTAAAAAACAATAAAAGGAATAAAATAAACTAATTAAAATACCTTTTAACTGTTGTTTCAGACAATGTACTGACAACATTTAGGAATAAGCAAAACAGCATACACAAAGACAAGCAGAACTGAACATGTGAAAATGAATCGTTAAGAGGAGATACTTTGAAACTACACGTTTTCTTTTCCTTCAATTCTTTCTTTTTAAAGATTATGAAACATAATCAGCATATCAGAGTTTTATTTAACTATTTGCTTAAATTCAGAACAGTATGTAGTAACATTTATCTTTAACTTTCAGTTTTGGCCATCTGCAGCATGTGTCGTTATCACAATTGTTAAAAATAGAGATACAGAATCATAGAATTGTTTAGGTTGGAAAAGACCTTTAAGATCATCCAGTCCAACCATTAACCTAACATTACCAAGTCCACCACTAAACCAGCTAAGGGTAGAGTAGTAATTTCATGTTTCCTGGCTTGGTGGCTGGATTATTTATAATGAAAGAAAAAACTAGGAATCATTAAGATTGGAAATAGAGTTCTTTCTCTCTTAAACTGAGCAAGACATGTTAATACAATGTATGTTTGCATACATATACAAAATGGGTATTCACTTGTAATTACCGTTTCAAAGAGCGTTGACCACTGCAAATAACATCAAGTAATAAATATTCTCCTGTTGTACGAAAGGCCAGGATCCACGGGGCCTATACTTAGAGCAGGCCTCGTGCTTCCTCCTGTTTATTGCAATCACAAAAAAGGCCAAACTTCTCCCAGATGCCAACTGTCCTTAACCACCGCTGAATATAGTCGCAACTCAAAGCATGCAAAAATATTCAAGAACTGGACTGTGTAACACCACCTACACAGCAGACTTTGTTCCTCCAGCTTCTCCTGTGGGGAGCTGTGTCTCATCCCGGGGATGAGACATGACCCAGGCACACACTGCTTGGCCATTTCCCCTGCCCTTCCCTTTTCCTCCTTACTGCTTCCGCGGCAGGAAACAGCCCCACAGTATAGGTACAGTCTGCGAAAGTTACTACTGTATCATCTGTGACTTGCAAGTAATTTCAACCTTTGACAGGTTTTTTGATCAGATACGCCCAAGGCTTAAAACTAAGGCTTTTCAATAGGTAGACACACATACGATTTTTTTTTTTTTTTAAGTAATACTACATTAGAGGCACAGGCTAGTTAGTCTTCTGACAATTACTATTTCGTTCTTTTCCCTCTTGGAAGTAAATGTTAGCAAAATAACTAAAGTTCTCTTGCTTTGCTTTTTAAAGATCTTTTTCCACTTGGTAAGCTTATTTTTCCTCACTTCAGAATTACTTAATAGAACACTCTCAAAGGTTAAACATCATTCATTCCCTATTCATTTGTAAGTGCAACCCCATGCCAAAAGTCTCCAAGTTTCTGATTTGAGTATGAATCTTTCTCTTGTCAGTCAGAGCTCAACATTTTTAAATTTGTGTCTTTTTTTCAGGAGATGCACAGAAGAACAAGCTATCCTAATAGAAATTCCATGTAACAGCCAGGTTCTGTGATGCTTGTTGCTCATTTTTGCTCTTTTCCACTAATACTTTACATGACACAGTTATCTCACACAGACTTTTCAGGTTCTCCATATAGCCATAACAGAGAAGTGGGATCACCAAGGACATCAGGACTTCAGTTATTATAGATTTCCTTGCAATGAGGCAGAGTATGTTAACTATCTGATTAAGCGCAACAGAGGAGATGCACACGTTATATTGTCACTTAGATTCCTTCCCGGGTAGAAAGCAACACTACAGCATACATTTATATCTGAAACGTTCAAATGTTCCACATGACAGTACTGACATTTTCTTCTTTACATCTTCTAAAACTAAAAAAATTACTGGAGGAGAGACATAAACAGGAAACAGAATTCAGTCATTTGAATGAAGCACGGATAACTAAAATATTGAGACACACCACCATACCAGAATTGTAACTTCAATCTTATTTTAAGTTTTCAGTGTAATTATGTGATCATCAAATAAAGCCTGTGGCTTGCTATTTTCATATTTTACTTTAAGTTTTAAACTCCATTCTGCTCTTGCTGCAGTGGATTTTAAAAATCAGCATTGGAAAAAGATGTTTGCTCTTAGGTCTTCAAATGCAAAGATACAACATTTAACTGTAACTTTGTGTCATGCATTTGTTCTAAGTTTATCTCTAGTCCAGAAATTCTATAATAATGACAAAAACAAAAGGCCAAGAAGACTACAGGAACACCTGGAAAATGAAAGGTGGGAATATCTCAGTATATTCTTTAAAGTAACATGGATTATACTACTTGGCATATCACTCTGAAACTAGATGCTCATGTTTGAGTGGAAATGAAATCCAACCTTTTTAATTAAAATAGCCCACAAGCTTCCCGCGCCTCCCTTCCTGTTCAGTTTATATAGTAAATTACTGAAGTTTAACAGCTGGAAAGAGAAGTGTGTAGGTAGAAGTGCTATACAAATCAAAGTAATACACTGCATTTGCCACAGAGGAGTCTTACTTTTCTGGTTTTAGGTCCCGGTATATTATTCCAAGACTATGTAGATGGTCTAAAGCAAGTGCTAATTCTGCAAGGTAAAATTTAACATCGTCTTCTGTGAACATCACCTGAAAAAGCAAAACAATGTATTTTACATATAAAATCTGTAAAGCTTACACCAGCACCAACAAAACAATGATAACAGCGGGTTTTTTTCAGAACGGTTCTTCATAATACTTGAATTCATTTCTATACAAAACTTTAGAAATACAAATTTCTTGGTTAGACAAAAACCAGGATTTTATAATCAATACTATTTCGCAGTACATACTTGAAAAAACTTCTGAAGCCAGTATCATATTATTCTTTCTGCAAAACTGAGGTTATTTGCCTCTGATTGTTCAAGAGAACAGACAGACACACTGTAGTGGGACAGAAAAATTTTGGGAAGCATTTAAAGAATGTTACTGCCTCTTTATTGGATGTGACCATTTCATTTCCAAACAACAAATGGACTAATAAGTCCAAATGCCTGAGTTCTGTCTACGAAGTCAGAGAGACAAGCAAAGCATACGGATCTTGTTTTTGAGGAGACTGACTCTAAGTACTATGAGAAAGAAGTTACAGTGATGGTAAAAAACCCAAGATGCAGCTTGAGATGTAACCACAGAAAAGGCAGATCGTAGAGTAAACTAAAGAAATAGCCTGTCTAAGAGCACAGGTAAGATCTCAGATAGCAATCCCACACTTCCTGTTAGGAAGATAAACTAATCCCTGTTTACATTCAATGAAATGAACATGTTGTCTCAATTATATCAACAACTGTTGTGACCACTAACAGAAAACATTACAATTAAACTTTTCTGAGAATTTAGAAAAAGATAAAAGTACTAAAAAGAAAAAAAAATCCTGCATGATTTGGTTCTACCTCAATTACTCTACTTGCTTGTACGAAGGCTTTTGCTGATGTTACTTCTACAAAAGAGCCAATATTTAGTACAGGCACATTCAAGAAGGGAAAGGCATGTTCAAGAAGGGAAATCTCTATAAGAAACATTTAAAAGCTCAAATAATGAAAGATCCCATGAGGATGATAATACACCCACACTATGTTCTTTAAAAACATTGCATGGAATTTCTCTCTCCTAACCTTAAACATCTGCAGCATAGACATCTAGCTCTGAAGTAATCACTTTTCCCTTTGGAGTCAATGGGGAAAAAGCAGGAACTTTCAGGCTGCAGTTCATCTGATCTATTTTAAAAATCACTCGAATTGATATGAGGATGACATTAATTGCATCCAGCGTGCCCATTTCACTCCACCAGTTATGACCAATTAACTTCAGTTATGACCAATTAGCTTAGATTCATGTACCTGTAATGAATATTTCTTACCTAAGCATATTAAATCTTTTAAAATTTGAGTGGCTCAAGATGACAAGGGCATTAGCAGGAAAGCGATATACATTCTTTCTTGGGAATCAAGAAAGAACTATGGATTTTAAGGAAAAAGTATCTCAATTTTAGAGTACTAATAACTTTCTACTTAGCATTAGCAAAACAAACTAAAAGAAGCATCTTGAAACAGACAGCTTCACTGAATTAAATGTAATAATTTATGTGGTCAGCACAGAAACAATGATATATCTGTACACAAAATGCATTGCATTCTACTCTCCTCTTAATAACCACATAGATTTGTAGTGGTGACCCAACTGTCCCAGATACTCTGTAGGCAAGGGAAAATGGAAAGCAGCTACAATTACAAGTTCTGGCTACCAGATATACACTGGATATATTTATATCTCTATCCTACTATATGTTTGTTAGAAGTTTTTGCACGAGTGATGGAAAAAAAAAATCTGACATATGAAATATTAGCATTTATTTTAGGAGTTATAATCAAATTAATTTGAGGTAATCAAACTTTCCAAAGTCATTATTTCACATATCTACACAAAGATATCACCAGTATGACAAAGGCAAAGTGTTCATGTTTGGGAGATTGCTAAAATAAGTTGAATACACTTCTTGCCCTTTTTTTGTTATTTATAAATAATGTAATTTTGTGTTCATATGTAAATCATAAAAAGATAATCTGACACTAAATTCTGGATACTAAAACCAGACACAAATCTGTTAATTTGAATACAACTACTTTATATTAATCAGTGCTCTGAGACTCAACTTTAAACATGGTAGCAATAGGAGAAGAAAATTTTGCAAGGTGTAAAAAGCAGCACAGAAAGAAATGTACATTACCAACAGTATTTTCATGAAGTGACTACTTTGTGCAAAAAAAACCCCAAGCAAACAAAAAACCGAGCTGGTTAAAAATATTCAAAATTTTATTCAATGAAAACTGAATTTAAAAAGGAAACTATCCTAATATAGGCAATTTATAATGAAATTTTATCAACAGACAATTTTCAAATTAAAAAAGTTTACCTCTTTGGATAAACGTGTAAACAAGTCTCCTCCCCTGAGAAAATCCAAAATAAGATATAGCTTCCCTTCTGTTTGAAAAGCTGAAAAGATCAATTGAAAAATTAATCTTCTAATTTTACTCATGATCAGAAGAATAACATACCCAATAAATCACCCTTATTTTCATTAACAAGATGAATTATTCTTCTTTCTCCTTTGTGGAAAAATTTATTTAAATGAATTATGTAACTGTTCCTCTATCATGAACCAAGTAACTCTCATGCCATGTGAAAGCAAAGCAAATCACTAATGGAATTTATTAAAAAATAAACTATACTTAGGTTAGTCAGCATTTCGTTCCAGATTTTGGAAGTAAAAAGCCTAGATTTAAAAGGGCAAATTAGTAACTAATGCACTTATCAGCTCAGCAGGGACATCTTGTCTAGTTTGCAAGAGAGTGACAAGTAAAATAGTGAAAACTACATTATTTAACCACATCAGAGTGATAGAGATAGAGGTTTGAACTATAGGAAAAACTGGATCCTAAAAGAAAAACATAAACTGGAAAAAAATGAACAACAGAAACTATTCTTTATCTCTTTTCAGTTTACCTTCTGCATAGCATGTTAAGAGTACTGATTTCCTCCCCTGTCCACATGAATAATTTTTTATGGCTGGCCATACTATTAAAATTAAAAGGCACATTCCCACCAATTTTGATGCAACTGGAAGTAATGCCATTGCATATGTTTTCTATAGAGTCAATAAAGCAAGGATAAGAAATAATTAAAAAAAAAGTGAATGACATATACAAAAGATAAGAGGTTTTGGAAAAGAATGGCTAGACATAAATAGAGAACTGCTTTTTAATAAAGCAAAGGGTCACAAGGCTCTCAGTCCCATAAAGAGAGAACACTGTGCATGAAGTTAGCCATGTGCTTACTTTGCATGAGAATTACTACAGAGCAAGTGTTTGCACAATCAGGATTTAGATAGCACACTAATTTTCTATGATTCTCTGAACCACAAAGCAAATATTGGGTACTATCTTGACAAGCACCCATTTTTACGATATAAAAACAAATTTTTCTGCAACTCACCATAATGTAACTTGACAATGAAAGGATGGTTAACTTCTACTAGGATATCACGTTCCATTTTTGTCCGAACCCGATCTCGAACTAAAACAGAACACGAACAAGATTAAAAAAAAAAAAAAACAAACCCAAAACCAAAACCAAAAACCCCATTGTGACTCAGTGTTCACCTATGTTTCCTGATGTACTTCACATTGTATCCCCGCAGTATTACAGTTGTCTGCAGGTCACTATACTTTACGCAGAAGAGACTTGAGAGAGAATTTATTTCACAGTGCAGAGTTTTCTGATTAATCTCTTTATGCATTTCAATTTGCTTCAGTTTCTGCTATTGGCAAAATTGGACACTGGATAAATATTTTTAACAAAAGCACAAGAGAAAACCTAACCACCTTCAGTCTGCCCTATATTTAGTTAACCTTTTAAACAGCAGAGCAAAACTGCCCCAGCTATGTATAGAAAACATCGCCATTTTCTCTACTGTTGAAAAGTAGGGAGAGTTAAAGTTATAGCAAAACAAACTTATAAATACAAATATACTATCATAAAGATGCTTATATTGGTTTAACTCATTCAAATAACTTGCACTATTAAGATATTAAGTACCTTCACAATTTGGAAGAGAATTTTTTTTTTAATTTCCTTTGAATGTACAATAAAAAGAATATCCATTCAATGTAGTGTGTATTTCAGACAATCTTTTTGATTTTAAAAAGGTTTACTGAGAGTAAACGTGTCCATGGAGGAGTATATCAGACATCAGAAGCAGTTACTGCTCAAGCTGCCTGTGCTGTCCCACTGCGGCGGCTCAGAACGGGACGTGTATCTGCTCCTATAGGAGCCGCTACAGATTAAACTGAGGGCCACGTGCCGATACCCCGGATACGGGGCTGGCGATCCATGAAGACAGGCAGGACAGTCAGCTGAGCACGGCACCCGCTTCAGCTGTCCCAGGCAACTCCCCTGCCACTCCAGTCAGCGCCTGGTTCCCATCCAAAGCTCCAGATCTGCCAGGACACAGACAAAATTCGGAACTCTTACAGATGAGAGCTAGCGAAGTTTGCTACAGTGGTTTAAGACGCTGCATTTCCCTTTCTTTCCCTTATTCTACATTTTGATACTGCCCCTTTCCCAAATGTTCCAACTTCTTGAAGGAAGCACCCCAGAGCAATGAAGTCCAGCCCAAAGTTTAAGTTGCCGGCATTCCCTGTACAGTTGCTGGCAGTCCTTGTAGCTAACAAGCCAGAGCTCTCAAGATATTGAAACTTAACAAGGCAGGGGAAAAAAGTCAAGAAGCAAAAGGGTCTTTTAGAAGTTTAGCTACCTTTTCCCAGAAACAGGCACTTACAATAACACAGGTACTTGTGAAATGAAGTTACATAGATACATTTTCATGAATGAAGCTATCAAGTTTCATCTCCCTGCATAACAGATTCCTAAAAATGGAAGCACATGAACTAAGTGCTCGCCAACACAGAGCAAACATCGCATTTGAATTTTGACCTTTACGTCTAAAGCAATGAAAATGTCACAAGATGTGCGATTTCACTGTTCCAAGGGTTCATGTGAATTACAAAATTGAAATTCAGAATACTCTTTTTTTAGGCAGATTCAGTTGAGAAAAAAAATTCAGAAGACTTGTAAGTGCCTATAGCTGTGCAACAGTTACATGGATAACAAGCCTTATTTCTGAAAAGCTAGAGAAAGTCTGGATTTAAAAAGATCTCAACCAAAAAAGCATAAGGAACTGAGCTCATTTCAGACATTAGTATTAGCCATTAAAAATCTGACTTTTGTTGACCATAGTTTCCACATGTGTAGTGCTGGAAGTACTGATTTTTCTTAATACGTTTGATGCGAGACACTCTAGCAATGATTTGGCCCTGTTTCTCCAGATCATAAAGGGGCACTGAAAGATGATACCTTCTATTAATAAACTAGTCTCTGCACTAAACAAAGTTGTATGTGTATATTCTTGGATTTGCTCTAAACATTAAGAGGTTGGACTGTGTAGTTACATCAACGTGTTCTGGCTAATATAGTTGCATTCCTATGAAAATATTCTCTCTAAATTTGATTTGTGAATCATGCACACCACTTTGGATTAAGAAGCAGTCTTAAAGGGCATTTTTATCTTTAATTTTAGAACACAAAAATAACTTTATGAAATAGATTTGAAAGAGCTGAAGAACCTTAGACATATCAAGTAATACAGTGTATTATTTAAAATTATAATATTAGATCTCAAAAAATGTTTCAATTATGGAAAAAAATTAATTTCAGTTAATTTCATGTTAAGATTTCATCAGTAACCTTCATTTGTTTGCAACTCCACTTTACGTAAAACAGGAATCGCAACCAAAGACACTCAAAAGCATGTGAAAATTCAGATAAAGTGCTGAAAAGTGTGTCATCCTCCTGCCAGTATCAGCTTTCTGCTCAAGCCTTTTGCATTCTTGAATTCTTAGTGCCCATGAGTCTCCTTTTTCAACCCAAACTCAAGCTTCCAATTTCAGTATTTATCAGTCTCTGCTATCTGTAGGCAAAACTAGATCCACAGCTTGGACTGTAATTTTTACGCCTAAGGTTAAACCACAATCAAAAGGTGATGGAGAGAAGCCCTCCAATGTTTTAAAAAAGCAACTGCTGAATGACCTTTGACTCCAGTTCTGAGCTATTAACAGGCTGGAGAAGGAAAGGCTACTGAGGATATCAAAGTACCTTAAATGAGTGGAAATCAATTTCAGAAAAATAGGAAGTAAATAATGAGAATAACACGTGCCACAAACCACAAAGGAATCAAAAGATAGGAAACTGTTCAAAAACATACCCTCTGTAATAGTTTTAAGTGAAAGTGATATATAATGAGATTTGTGAGATAAGATATTCAGCACTAGATCTTAAGCAGAAAAATTTCAGGTTTAACATTTTAGCAGAAGTTCACAATTCAATGCAAGTTTTTGTTCCCTCCATTGTTCTATGAATATTTTCAGATGAAACCGTATGTTAAAATTGCAAATCAACATAATAAGCAATAACACAGGTGAAGTACCACAAGTTGTTGGAACTATCCCCAAATTATCATTGCAATTTCAGTGCAGTCATGGGTTAGAAGAACTACAAATAGCCAGAAGTATTAAACAATGGCATAAAGCAACAAATACACATTCTGGTTAAGGGATTAGTGTGAAAGAGCACTTTCATTTTAATCTACAATAAAAAATACATTATTTCTTTTTTCTTATGGAATTCCCCAGGATGTTCACGTTTGAACTTATTTTGTTACTGACATGATTCAACACCAAAAACATCCAAGAAACAAAACAATTCAAAACTCATTTTTGCTCAAGTAACTTAGATGATTAACTTCAGATTTTATCAAATGTATTCTACATCCAGAAGGAGTGCCAAAAGTTTTGGGAAAAGGTACTGTATACTTCTGTTTAAAATAAAGACTTAAACTCCTGTGTGTAGGACTTTTAGAATAAAACAGCCAATATAATGCACTTTTAAATATCATGACCTAAATATAAACTGAGCAAAAGGCATTAACTGTATCCTTGGTGATACACAGCAAATGAAAAAAGGAAGGATATTAAGTTTCAAATAACAGCTCAGGAGCAAGTCAGTTGGCAGATGTAACAACTACTCTATCAAACCACCATCACCTACTGAACTTAGCATGGAAAGAAACCTACTTTCCCCTATAACTACCAATATAGTACTGTTGTTTACTTAATTCTTCTGGGTTTACAATACAAGGCAGTGTATTCTGCTATTGTTGTTTGAAAGAAAATTCTAAAATACAATCTGTAGAACAGCATGTGTGTAAAGATTAAGTTTTGATATCATGTCCCTGATTTCTCTTTTTTTCTTCTCTCTCTAAACAATGCTTACCTTTCAAGGTGGCCTTTTTCAATACCTTCATTGCATAAAGCTGTCTAGCATCTGATCCTGAGATTTTTTTGACAAGAAAGACCTACATTGAAAATGAAAAAGAATTTTTAAAAGAAAATAAAGGCAAGTTAGATCAATATACTTTGCTACGAAATTCAGGTAGTCAGTATTATTTCAACATTATTGTTGTTCCTCCCAATACTATTATTAGCTTCTTCGACAGTTTCAGATTCTGCAAAGCCAAACAAAAATTTCCTTGCAGTTTTTCCTACTATTCCTTCATTTCATAATCTAAACGGTTCATTCAAGACAAAGTTTGCCAAATTAATTTTGGTTTAATGTAATTGATTTTGGTGAATAAAAGAAAGGATGAATTTGGATTCTTTCAGAAATTGAGACAAATTTGAAACACAAAATTCAGCTTTTTAATATTAATCACTAAATAGTTTTGTCTATTAAAATTCGTAAGACGGCATAGCAAAAATGTTAATAAAATAACTGTCAGATATGAAAATAAATGTGTGTACAAAAGTTGATCCAGAAAACTATATGAATCAATGCATAACAAAATAATGTGTTAAAAAATAACCTATAAAGTTATAAGAACCAACTTCTTGCGTCACAAAAGCATTATTTTTTTATGACATGCTTCGGTTGAGTTTTGCACATACCAACAAAGCACAACTAGCCTCAATTAAAGTGTGTTTCATTTCCTTCTTTAGTGTAATGGGATTTCTTGAGTGGGATTGTTTTTAATATCCTTAATACAAAATGAATTCCAGTAGAGCCAAATTTTAGATTTAGAAATGAAGAAGAGAAAAATAGACCTGCCACAGGTTTTCTGGTTATTTATGAAAAAGCATAGAGACATGCTGTGGTATATGAGAATGTTAAACGTGTTATATGAAATTAGTTTTATGTCTGGTTTTGTATCCAATTCCCACTTATGCTAACACCCCTTTGCATTATCCAGGGATTACCAGAACATCATCAAGAGAGCTTGGAAAGCATGCAAATTAGTCTTTTTAAACTGAATGGGAAGTAGCAACATCTTCCCAAATTATCAGAAAGAAGGGATTATGGGTTTTGTACTATAAATCCTTTTTGCACAAAGGCTAAAACAGTTGAGGACAAGACTGGCATTTTCGCAACACTTTGAGTCAGCTAGACAGATAATTATTTTTGCAGTTTCAATTCCCCCCCCCCCCCCCCAGCAGTTATAACATTGAATTTAGTAATATCAATAAAAAGAGATTGTTGAAATTATCATTTATTAGCTTACATTTCCTTGCCCCTGAATGATTTACTTCTGATTTGAAGATTTCCAAATAAAAACTTGGTTATGATTCTGGATGAAATCAAACAACACAGGAAACCACCTTTGGAATCAGGTTTCTTGGTGAATTCTTACTAGTTTGAGTACAAAATTTTGTAGTTTCTAAACATCTAGATTTCCAACCTTAACTGGAACTGCTGCTCCAATAATGTGACTAACAGTAACTTCCTACCATCAAGAGAGAATGGGACCGATTATTCCCATTTTCCCCCATATCCAAGATAGATTTGGTATTATATGCTAGAGCTTAACTTCACATTCAGAATTGCAATTAAGGCTGAAAATGAATGTAAAGGCTCTGTTGTCTTACATTCCATGTTCCATTCTGTTTCAATGATCTGTCTTGCCACAGGAAGTTAATGTTTTGCTTCCAAGTTGGATTTGGACAACTAAAAGTATGAATCATGTACACCTAGTGAGATCTCAGTGTGGACAGTACTCACGAAATGCCAGAAACATTGAGTCTTTAACAGAGCTTCAAATAAATATCAATGTACGTTGTGCCCTAACCAAATTGTGACAGATAGTGCCTAGCATGAACACAACTAGGGTATATCATGTTTACTTCAGTAGCCATTATTGCCTAAAATTTGTTCTTTACAATTACCATATGCTACAAAAATAAATTCTGCCTACAGTTTCTGTACTGGCGATAACCTACCATTAGCAAGTTAGCAGCTAGGAACACTTATCAAAAAACCCTTTCAACCCTCGCCCCCTCAACCGTAGAAGAAGAGTAGTTATAGAAAAATGACATCCCATTTTAATAGTGAACACCAAATTATTTCATATCAAGCCAATTTTCCTACAAATCTTTGAGATCTACATATCATACAAACTAGAAAAAAAAATTTACTGCTTTAAAAAGATCTGCCACAATTCCAGTGGCTAGTTAACACTAATTTAGAAAGCAGTTTTCTCTTGCAACATTGCCTTAATGCAAGATCGTGGCTGTTCTAAATATTTCACTCCTAATATTATTCAATGCTATACTCCTGAATAATTGGTTCCACAAGAGTTCAGTTACCAACCTTTCCAAAGGATCCTTGTCCTAGTACTTTCAGAAGTTCAAACTGTGAAGGGTCTGCTTTTTCATGTCCTTCCTTTACATGGTGAGTTATTGCAATTTCTTTGATAGTTCCTTCTTCCTGACAGTGGAAAAGAGTGGCATAAGTTTACATTAGAGGTGCATCTTCCAAAAATGTTTATAAATTCACAACTTGTTGAAAAATACTGATGCCTCTGAAACCAACGAACTACATGCTCCCAAATGTAGATAAAAACCATTGAGCAACACTATTTGCATAATTAAGACACAAAATATAAATTATATCTGTTACAAAAGACAGTATTAGTTTAGTAACTATGTGGCTTAAACTTTTAGGGATGCATCAGAATCTAGGCAATAACAGAGCTGACAATAACAAGTCAGTGATTCCCAAGCTTTTGTGCTTAAGCCCACACTGTTTGGTTCATAACCTCCATTCCAGATTCACAACCCATTAATGGAAACCAATCTTCTTAAGAACTTAGTCCTCTCACAGCACACCTAGAGTGCATCAAACAGACCAGATCTCCGAGGAAAGCCCTCCTTTTTAACACTTGGATGAGGACCACTATGCTGCAGCAATGCTAATGCTCATCTTTGTAAGACAGTGTAAGACCCAAGACATTTCCCCGCAAAGCAGCGCACCCCTCCACCCCCACTTCAGAGCAATAAACTCTCCACGTGCCACTGAGAAAATTCTGGTGAGGAAAAGAATCTCATTGCCTCTCTTCTCAGGCAAAGTCTGTTCTATAAAAGCTGCCAGTCTTCAACATTCCCCCTTCTGTGAGAAACTAGTCACCAGAAAGCTCTGAAGGGCAGTGGATCTTCTAGTCTTTTTGTGCTCTGCACTTAATTCAGTATTTTTTGCACAGATTTTTAAAATCCCCTGAAAAGCAACACTCCTTGCCACACAAGGAATTTCAGAACTTATCAGCAACTTTTCAAAAGTAAAGAAACTGCATTCTTATCAATGTCATCTGAAGAACTATCTAAGCATTATGTGCAATCCAACCTAAGCAGCACTGACTGTAAGTTGACTTACATAACACAAATATACTAACTACAATTTCAACTTTTTGTGCATTCTCTTCCTATTCCTTCTATGGGATACAGTGAATAAAATAAATCTAAGAATACTTTTCCTCTATTTAATGAGGAAGTCTCAGATCTTCTTCACAGAATCACAGACTGGTTGAGGTTGGAAGGCACCTCTGGAGGTCATCTGGTCCAACCCCCCTGCTCAAGCAGAGTTGGTTGCCCAGAGCCATGTCCAGGCAGCTTTTGAATACCTCCAAGGATGGAGACTCCACAACCTCCCTGGACAAACTGTGCCAGGGCTTGGTCACAGCGAAAGAGGGTTTCCTGACGTTCAGAGGGACCCTCCTGTGTTCCAGTTTGTGCCTGTCCCCTCTGGTCCTGCCACTGGGCACTACTGAGAAGAGCCTGGCTCCATCCTCTGTGTGCCCTCCCTTCAGGTTGGTCAAACATGATTTCACCTTTGTGAATCCATGCTCACTAACCCCAGTTACCTTTTTGTCCTTCATGTACATGGAAATGGTTTCCAGGACTAGTTGTTCCATCACCTTCCCAGGGGTCAAGGTGTGGCTAACCATTCCTGTAATTCCCTGGGTCTTCCTTCTTGTCCTTTTTGAAGACAGGAGTGACATTTGCTTTCCTTCAGTCCTCAAGCACCTCACCCAATCACCACGATCATTGGAACATAATCAAGAGTGGCCTCGCAATGACATCTGCCAGGTCCCTCAGCACTCATGTATGTGTCCTATCAAGGCCCACAGACTTACGTACATCCAGTTTGCTTAAGCATTCTCCAACCTGACCCTTTTCCACCAAGGGTATGTCTTCCTTATCTATATGCACCGAAATGTGCACTAATTAGTTCTAGTGATGGGGGAGTAGAGGCAGCATTCTAAAGCTGTGCTTCTGCAGCACTAATTTATGTATTTTTTAAGTATTCAGCAAAATTTATGTGCATTAATTATTATTGAAAGTTTCCTTTTGTACCTGGCTATTTCAGTACAATGTATAAGTGCACAGCAACTGTCCACACACATCTCTGTACTCGAACACATGCTTCTCCTAAATCAACCTTTCTCTTTCAAAAGATTCTTTTTTCAAAAGATTCCAACCAAAGCTGGAAACAAACTGCATGTAACAAATCCTGAGCATGTATGTGTGAGAGAGTGTGTACACATATATAAAAATTCCAATGTACACTTTGGAATAATGCACAGAACATCCTGGCAACTTTTAAAAAAAGTTAAAAAAAGATATTTTAATGTAAAGAACTTGGATTTGTCTTAGGTGCTCTAAAATTAAGATGACCGATAAGGATAGGTGCCAGTTTTCACTGTAAGAGAGCCAAAATTTTGCCTGCGTGTCATGTATGCACGCTGTGTACTACTACTACTAAACCTAAAGTCCTTTTTCCTTTCAAGAGAAAATGCTACCATCGTTGACTCAAGGCTGAATCTTTACAGAGTTTGAAAGAAATACTGATTTCTTCTACTTGTCAAAGGAATTATGTGCTGGTGGACATTTGTATTTTCATCTTTTAAATTCGTATATGATCAGTTGGATTACATACTACTTAAACCACCCACTGCAAGCTTAGAGAATCCCAGGGGAGGAACAGCACAGTAGAACACACTGCCAAGTACACATTACTTTGGATACTTTGATCCATTTCTGCTTAACTGTTTTATCTATTAGCTCCCTGGCAATCTTGAGAAAGTAAAAACATGTGAAACAGTACTTCGTCAAATCTTTCTGTTATCTGCCCAGACTCAGGGACACAAAGCAATCAGGTGGACACACTGCTTTAAAAGCATCACAAAATGTAACAAAAACAAGAAGAAGAAAAGATATTAACTTGTTCTCGATACACAAACAAAAATTATTTTTTAATGCAATGCAATTATTATGCAACCAACTTCCCAGTGGTTATTTTGGGCACCCTCTTAAAAAAAAAACAAAACAAACACCCGCAACAAAAAACAACCCAACCCACCACTTCACATTCCTGATACTAAGAGAATATTCCCAGTCTTCACAGTTTCTCAGGGTTCAGATACTCTTCGGTCCTTATAAGGCAGACCTAATACAACTCTGTTTTAAACGAAATAGAACTCAGATCATATCCTACTTTAGTAGCTTGTCCATAACATATGTTTGGGAGCAAAATTTATGATGAATAGTTACCCACAAATTTGCAATTTCCTTTTCTGACATAATTGCTGAACATTTGTTATTTTAACCTAGACAGTATTTTGCAAATGCAGTTAAAAATACAAAAGCTAAGCCTTTTCTAGAAATGCAAGTTATATGCAGAAGTAATCAACCCTCACTGTACCCACTATCTACCTGAATTAAAATACATGCCTTTCACACTGTAAAAAGAGATCTCTTTCTCAGCCAACTGCACTAATTACATTAGTTGATAGATGCCATCTTACAGTAAGCTGGAAGAGAAGCCAGCCATTCAGTCTGGTACTGAATTTGTCTTAAGCTCCACCTCTGATCATTCCCTGATATTTGGAAAAAACATTCGTCCCATGTGATTAATTCATATTAAATGAGATGATGTATAGAGTGCTGAAAGACTCTGGTCCTCCTCTCCTTTCTTCCATTCCCTGACAACTTTCACACCACTGCAGACACTCACCCACCAGTGATCTGGCCATTGCAATGGCGAGTTCTTCTTTCCAGTTCTAACTACACACTACTGCCTATATTTTCTGTTATTTATAAGCTTAGAAAGGTCCCTTTTCTCAAGCCTTATACTGCAGCAATGTCTAAGTAGAAGTCCCAAGACATAAATTTCTTTTTCTAGCCACACAGCTCTCTCTTAAGGCTTTCTTCACACTAGAAAGTAAAACTGTCACAGAAAGCCACATATTAAAAAAAAAAAACAAAACAAAACCAAAACAACTGCGTTAGTCAAGGTGGTTGCTACTGGCTTCCATTATCGTGAAGCTAAATATAGAAGACAAAGAAACAAACAGAAGGTAACATTACTCTGAGTTTCCTTAACATTTCCGTAACAGTATAATAGTGTTAAATCAACACTGGCCTAGAAGGGAAGTGAGTGACAAACAAGGTTGGGTATGAATTTAAACCACCACTATTTCAGAATAACTTCCTGTACTGATATAGTTTGCAAGTCAGAACTATTCTGGTCATTAAGTATCTCAGTATAAGTAACGTCTTCGTAATGTACCTCACAATTTATGTCTATGCACAGGAATGCATACATACATAGCAAAAAACACTGAATGGACTATATTCAACAGACAAATCAAATAGAAAGAGAAAAGCTAAAAAACCAAAAAAACAACCAACCAACCAAAAAAGGATTCAGCAGCACCAAGGGTGACTCATTTTTCTCTTCAGGAATCAGCTACAAATTAGAATAGGAAACATGCTTGTCGGGGGGAAAAAAAAAAAAAAAAAAAAAAGATACACACATTCCAGGCAAGCAGTGAAAAAGTATTTAACTATTATTAGGCTATAAAAATAATAGTGTAATCATGTTTCTGGAAGAAATCCATGTTTTAGGTACTTAACGAACACTAAATACTCACTTTTGTTCTAGTAATTGAATTTATGTGAATTTCTTTTATGTTCACTTCTTAAATTCAAGGCTAAATTAACTCTGCTGTAACATAAAACACTTGTATTTGTTTCCAAAATCTTATTACATAACAACTATTAGATAATGTATTAAAAGGAAACTGGACTTCAAACCGTAAAGGAAGTAGAAGCAGAAGAGCCTTACTAAGTAAGTATTTCTCAATAGGAACAGAAAAGCCCAGAAAATCAAGAGAAAAACGTGAGTTTATCTATACACAGAATCTTCTGTAATTTATCCTTCAGATCTCTGAATTTTCAGTAGGAGATCTGAAAGCAGTTCTGTGTGTAAAGAAGTGGCCCATGCACAGCTGGATGGCATGAACCCACTGCTTGCTTTACACAGATGAGCTTATCTGCAGACCTTTTTCTGAGCAGTATGTTCTGGGGACAACTGAAAAGCTGGTCTAGGGCTAGTGAACTGGGCTCTGAACTGCTAGGAGAGCTGCCAGG